TAAACCAAGTTCAATAATTATCAACTGTTAATAAAACTATAAAAACTATATTTTACTATTTATGACAAAACAAAGATAAATAACAACATTGTCAATAACAAAAATCAATTTCAGAATAACGATTCGAATTTAATCAATAAAAAAATCATTTATGAAAATATCTTCGTAAAGAAAAGTCAAAAAGAACAAAACAGAACAAAAAGTCCTTTGTATTGAATTTTCCAAAACAATCATTTTTCAAAGAGAATCTTTTGTGTAAATAAATTGTTTTAAAAGCCGTACGACAATTTTATGGTGGTCGACCATTTTGTGATGCACTTTAGTCTATATTTTTCAATGCCTGTTATTAGTATAAAGAATTCAACTGTATAACACCCAACTGTCTGGTTAAATGAATAACTTAGGGGCCACATCAATAAGAGTGGTCATCTTGTCATTGTTATTCTATTATACCTCGGAATCGATTGATTAAATTTTAAGTATGTAACACTCAATTGTCTTGTTAGATAAAATAAATTATAGTGGTCATCCACATGAATTATCTCGTCATCACCATTCTATGTCACATACTTGACTATCCAACAAGTATTCATTAATAAAATTTATTTTCGTTATAATTTACTCTAAAACAATAAATTTTAATATTATTTTCAGTTTTTCATTGTTTCCCACCGAACAAAAAATTGTAAATCTGAAAGAAAAAAAAAGAAATTATTATTTTTGTCTTTTTGGTTTGCCACGTCACAAAAATGCCACGCAGTGCACAAATTGTTACGGTTTGGATTACAGATCCCAGAAAAACATACCGGCACAGAAAAACCGACCGGCATAGAATAATTTATAGTATATTATAGTTTTTTTGTTTTTTGTCTTTTTTTTCAAAATTTTTATTGAAAAAACTATTAAATAGTTTTCAGAAACCATTTTTATAGTTTGCCGGTCGGTTTTTCCGGGGTCTGTACCCTGCACCGTTTATTACATTATTTATAATTTAAAATATTATAATTTTCTTTCATAAAATTGTTGTTGTCGAATATTTTATTGTACAGGCAGTGAAGTGAAGGTATAAATTTTCAATTGAATACTAAATAAAAGGGTTTTCTTATTTCAAAAAAATTTATTTTGATTGGCTAAAACAGTCATTCTCAATAAAACCCTTATTTAACAAGCCGAATTTGTTCTTTTTATTATAACAAATATTGACATTTTGATTGTCTTGTTACCATTTTGTTTGTTTGAAAATAATATTCTATAGTTTTTTTAACCATTTAAAAACTATAGAAAAACAACAATCACACATAAACCAAGAAGCGAATAAACCAATAAAAAAACATCACTTAACTAAACTTGGCAACAAGTTTAACTCCATAAATCCAGCTTCATCACAATCAAATAAATGATAAGTGTGTTTGTTTTTGCAAGCTCGCTCAATAGTCACACTCACAACTTACCATTAATTAAAGATTTTAAAGATGATGAAATAAAATTTAATATTTGAATATTTATGTAATAAGTGGCTAAATAATGACAAAATAACAATAACAAACGTGTAAAATGACACCGTTAAATGTTTGGTCTTTGTTTTCTTTTTTAACAAGATTTAATGCTTGGTGTTTGCCTATTTTTCTTCTTTCGACTTCAATTTATTTTTTAAGTTCGTTCAATTTTATTTTTCAACTTATTTTTTCAGCAAAGTCGAATTTAAAAATAATCTAAAAATGGGTCTAAATTTTTTCAAAATATTTTTTTAGTTTTATTGACCAAAAATTTAAACCCGAAAAAACAGTTAAAATATGACGTAAAATTGTTCGATTATTCTCAAAACCCTTTTATTTAGTATTCAATTGAAAATTTATACCTTCACTTCACTGCCTGTATTTTTTAATATTACTAATAGTTTACAAAACCATATTTAAACTATAATTTGAATGACGAAACCGTATTTAAATAAACTCTACACTATACAAAACATTTTATTTTTTAATTATTTAGCAAACTATTAAAAATTGTTAATTTAATAATATATAAATAGTTATTGATTAAATGGTTGATTGTCTTTATATAATAACAACGAATTGTAAAAATAGAGATATTGAAAACCACAAAGTTCTAATACCAATATATAAAACAACTAACTGGGGTGGTTCAATAATAATTTGATTTTTTATCTTTAATACAATAATCTACAATCATTATGTGTGTCCTAAGGTTCACACTTCTTTTTCTTTTAATATACAACAGTGTGTTATGTCAAGCCATTGTTGCAGAATCGCCTTGTTTTGTTTGTTGATTGTATTTTGTACTTTGTGAAAGACAAAAAAGACTCACAGAAAGATCGACATCCATGCAGAAAATTATGATGATGTTGGAAGTGTTGATCGAGGTTTGGTCGCACACAACGCTCATATACACGATAGGTGTTACGACAAAGTCCCTGATGCAAGCAAGAATGTGATGGGACTATCTTCACAAACCACATGTTATGTGCCTCATTATCTCTTTTACAAAGTTCATGAAAGTTCTTATGTATCTAGGTGTGGGCAATGTGTAGAACTCAAAGGACCAAGTCTTAAAATAGCGCACTGTGTTGTTTCTGGGTCGTATATGATCAATGAAGGAGTCACTGATTTAAATACAATAAAGTATTATAATAACACTATCATAGTTGAAAACAGTCTCTTCATGATGCTCTCTGGCTTTCTAGAAAAAAATGAAGGGACTGTACTTCCTGTTGTATTTAGAATGGTTGACTGTTTGTATAAAACGAATCCATCATTGGTTATTACAGAACAAACAGCAACCGAGTCACAAATAGTGTTGTTTAACACAAACATTATTGTACCACATATAATGTTCAATAATACTATATACCACAATCGCTTTGTTGCTGGATTTACTATTCCACGCCCCCAACCACTCAATACCACAGAAGTGTACAAAATGAAGTTATTTAGTAACGTGGGGACATCTGTGATAATCAATTTCAAATTCATAAAATCCGAGATATACACATCAACAACTACTTTTCCAATCTCTTTCGATGAATCAACTAAATGTTATTTAAGACCAGAAGCTAATGTGATTATAGAGAAAGGTGTTCTATTGAAAAATATGACGGAGGATATCACTAGAGATGATTACTTTATGTGGGCTATGGCATTCCACCCCGATCGAGGCAATTTGTACCCAAACATTCCTCTTACAAAAGAAAACCCGACTTTTACATACACAGATGTTATTGGGGGATTTTCTATTCGATTTCCAGCTCCACTGAGAATATCAGAGCACTTTGTATTTGTTACTTTAATCACTGAAAGTACGAAGCCAGTGTCGCCGTATTATCCCAATGTCTACTCTCTTAATGGTGACAATTTGAATGACTCGGATCACTTCTTTTGTCAAAGTCTAATGTTTGAACACGACACACAAATGACAGCGAGTGGACTTTATCGATTTACTTTTAGAATCAATTTGGTTCTATCAAAGTGTCATGGATTTTGTTTGTTTTGAATGCGACTTATAAACGTTAATAACACTAATTAATAGCTAATTTCTACATCCTCAACTTTTTGACTCAAATTGGTAATACAATGACTATTAAAGACGTTTTCTGGACGACTAAATATAATATGAATTTCACTTATTGTGAGTACACTTATAGTTGTTCTGTTGGTGACGAGTGTGACCCAACAGATTCTAAGATAGACAGTGACACGCTCCCGCCCAAAAATTACTCAAAAGGGTGTGCTCCATATTGTGGTGTCTGCCAGATGGGATATGAATGCAACAAAGCGGCTCGTTGTGTTCCAAAGACGTTTCACAACACTCGCAATACTTCCGATAAAGTGTTTTGTCTGCTGATGTTGTTAATTATAGTGATTTTTGTTTATTTTATGAATTAGATGCTGTTTCCTAGACTCTATAATAAGTAGACTCTACTAATAAATTAGCAGAGTCTAAAATTCCATTTTTAGAAGATCAATAAAGAAGTAATCAATCGCTAATATTAAGACTGTACAAAGCAAAAAAGGCAGTGAATTAATTATCTGTTAGACTTAGCAACACGTTCCATATCTTCTTTCTTCTTCATAGCGAACGAGGCGGTGTTTTTCTTGGAAGCATTGACCAACTCATCGGCCAAACACTCAGCAAGAGTCTTCGAGTTTCTGAAAGCAGCAGTTCTGCAGCCCATAGTCATCAAGTAGAGGGCTTGATTGACTCTTCTCATTGGGGAGACATCAACGGCTTGTCTCTTAGCGTTTCCACCGGTACCGACACGAGTTGAATCTTCGCATGGGGAAGCGTTGCAAATGGCCTCAACCAAGACTTGGATTGGGTTCTGTTCAGTGAGCAAGTGGATGATATCAAAAGCTTCCTCGACAACTCTCATCGCTAACAACTTCTTTCCGGAGTTTCTTCCATGTTGCATCAAGCAGCAGACAAGTCTCTCAACAATTGGGCATTGGACTTTTCTGAATGGTCTAACAGCATATCTCCCAGCAGTGTGGGGCAAGAAGACTTTGTACTTCGACTTCGTGTTGATCGCCATTAAGTCGACTAATGACATATCAGGTACGTGAACTTCGTCATAATTCCACTTGTTGAATAAACGTGGGGAAAAGCCTTTTGCGGCTGGTGCTACTTCAACGGGTGCAACGGCTGCTTGAACGACTGGTTCCGCTTGGTTTGCGGGTGCTACGACTGCCTCGGCCATGGAAGTGCTTTTAGAGTGGGTAGGGTTTTCTAGTTTCTTGTTTAGTTCTTTCTAGTTTCGAATCTTACCCATTGCCATTAATCCATATAATAATAATTAAATAACTATATAATATAGTATTTACAAGTTTACTCTCTTTGAAAATATTTTGTTATTTGAAATGTTATTTGGAGTAGAAATTCGTCACTGGATTTGTGAACTTCAAAAGTATGGAAGAGATCTGTGTTGTGACGACTGGAGGGATTGTCCTTTACAGTAAAAAGTACAGCGAAGTCCGAGGAGAGCCAGTGAATACGATGATAAAAGAATATATATTAGCGGATAGGAGTGGGGAGTGTAAAGCTAATATAGAGAATTACCAAGTCCATTGGGTGACCAATGTAGAAACATCGACACTGTTTATAGCTGTTCATATGAAGACTATAAAAGTGGATTATTGCGAACGAATGTTGAGTGATATTGAAGCAAAATATCGGGATGAGTACCTTCCGAGTAAACACATTTTAAAAGAGAGAATTGAGGCGATTGTGGTCAACTCGTTGAAAGAAAGCCAGGAGTGGTCAAGACAAGAAAAACAAAACAAAAAGATGCGAACGTTTGCAGAGACAGAAAAGGGCGTTGAAATAGCACAAAAACTTAAGAAAGAGAAGAATGAAAAAAGTGACAAACATGAAGAAAAAGTGGTCACTTCTGAAGGAGACGGCACAAAATACACCTTTGCGGAGATGTCCAAAAAAGACCTGAGAGCAAAGCCGCAAGAAAATCAGCTTCAAAAGTGGATATCTGGATTTAAAGGGACTCGTGTAGTAGATGAAGGCGAGGCAACACAACAAGCAGAAAACATGGAGAAGTTGTTGATTGAGAAGAATGTGAATTCAGAAGTAGCGTCACAGATTAAGTCGAACATTCACACGTTACTCTTAGGGAAAAAGGTGGACACATTTACTCTTCGAGGCACTGTGATTCAAGGCGTTACTGAAGTTTTAACACGTATTATGACGCCAAGTAATGTCATTGATGTTGCTAAAGAGATCGAAGAGAAGAAGTCGAAAGGGGAAGTATTTACTATGGTCTTCATTGGTGTGAATGGCGTTGGTAAATCGACTTCATTGTCTAAGATGGCATGTTGGCTCACCTCATTAAATTACAAAGTAATGATTGCAGCGTGTGACACATTCAGAGCAGGCGCTGTTGATCAACTTGCAGTGCATGCACAGCGGCTTGGAATACCTTTATATGAAAAAGGATATGACACCGACCCTTCCGCAATAGCTCGAAACGCTTTAAAACGAGCAAAAGAGGATGGGTATGATGTTCTCTTAGTAGACACGGCTGGTCGAATGCAAGGGAATGATGCTCTAATGAAAGCTATCGCCAAATTGGTTCATTCAGCTCAGACAGATTTAGTTCTGTTTGTAGCAGAAGCTTTAGTAGGGAATGACGCAGTGAATCAGTTGACCACTTTCAATAGATATGTCATCGACTACGCCCCAGTCAAAACTACAAAGGGAGTCAGTGGGATCATTTTAACTAAATTTGATACTATTGACGATAAAGTCGGGGCCGCTATTTCACTCACATATTGCACGGGTATCCCTATCCTCTTTGTTGGAACAGGACAACATTATACTGACTTAAAGCTTCTGAACGTTCAAGACTTGATCGACTCTTTACTCAAGTAATTTCTTTCGTATATTTATGGTTTGATTATTATATTGAATAGTATAACTGGAGAGAAGAAAATCGGTGTGATGGATTTGCTTCAAAGATATTTTTCGATTTTCTGCATTCCATAAAAACGCAACAGAATCAGAAACATTCATCAAAACTATTATTATATAAATATTTTATTACTGTTTTTATTATAATTTGGAGTTAAGTAATTCAATAGATCAATTAGGTGTATTTACTGTGTTATTTACTAATCGAGAAAGTAATTAAAAATAATGGAAAAGTTATTCTAATAAAGAACTTAGAAATATTATTATTTAAATTGTCGATGGAAGTTGAGGAAATAGTGAAGGATCAAAGCGAATTACGCTTTGAGTTGAGTCACGAGAAGTTAAAGAAATTGGGGAAAACAAAAGGAGGGAAAGAAGTTGTCCGTATCCTTAATTTAATGGAACAGTCGAGCCAAGCTCTTATGGAGTTTCACTTCAACAAAACGCACGAAATCAAACAGTTGCTTTGTGAGACATACAACGCACTTAAAATGTCAAGTGAAGAATGTTTTGCTACGGAGAATGTTGTAATGATGGTTCTGTTTGTCCGGATCAAAATGTTTGAATTGGTACCGACCATCATTTCGTTATTAAAGCGTGGGGAGACACCTATTACTTTCAAAGAAAGAATCGACAGAGAAATCCTTCGACTTCACGAACAAAGTGATGAAGGGTTAACTCTCTTAGTGAAAGAACTGATGTTTGATTTAGTCATTCTTCGCATCACCGTGATGTTATCGTTCTATACCAGCGTCTTCGATATCAATAGTTTACATTCTTCATTCAAAGATGCCGAGATATCAATTAACAACATCTCCGCTACAGCTCGGGAATACTTTGCGGAAGACCCCGAGAAGTTTCTTCTTTACACGAAGACAATGGGGAAGTGCAAATTCAGAAATTTCTTGTTAAAAGCACTTGAGTTGGAGATTCGAAGAGGTGACCTGTTATTAGGCCCACACACTCTTCAAATGCAAACAACAAATTTGCCATTCAAACAGTTGAAAGAGAAGTTCGGCGGAAGCTTTTTGGTCATCCACGAGATCCCATTCACAAAAATGAACGAAGATACAGTCAAGTCGTTTCTCGACAATTCATACGGCAACCCTGCGCACCCAATATCATTTATCTATCCCGAAGTCTTTATGGACGAATGTGAATATTGGATCCCCTCAATTCTGTCTTCAATTGTGTCAGAAGACTGGAACAATAATATAGTAATAGAACAAGAAGAGGCTCAAAAACGGAGTTTTGTCGTTGTCAAAGCGATTCGGGTCTTCTTTGTGTGGTGTGGCAATTACCCGTGCAACACTATCCAGACCATCGCTTTGGAATTTACTCGCGCGATGGAGAACATCTTTTATTTAAATGATTTGTAAGTTATGCGTCAAACTTCAAACCTCAAAGTTTCTTTTGATCATGTGGACTTAAGTTTGGTATAGTATAAGTATAGTATAATTATAGTTACAAGTATAGTAAAAATAGAACAGCTTTGGCACATAGAATTGAGGCATAAAGAATTTGTAGTTCGGACCGGGAAGAACTCACAACAGAAATGGGTGGCGACGAGATCACACAACACGAAAAACATGAGATTGATAAGGATGAGGACATTGATAAGCTTGATTCTCTATTGGTCCAACTCTCGGGGCAGACATATATGTACTACTATAAACAAACAATTGAAGAATTTATGAGGGCGTTCAATAAAGGGAATATGAGAACGTTGAGCGACAAGTTCTTTGCACACTTTGTCAATGACACATTTTCGAAATTTTTTGTCAAAATCAAAAGTGAGACTTTCTACACAGATGTTATCACAGACTTTTGCTCGTTCTTTGTCGTGTTTTTTATTAGTCGGATAGAACTCGTCGACAAAAACGGATGGGGGAACTTTGCGAGTGTGTTTTATAACGAAGAGTTTTATAAGAAGAAGTCGGCGTACTCGGCACAACTGGGCAAAATGACCGAGTCGGATTCTGTAGTTATGAACTTGGCTTTGGACTTCCAGAATGCGAACGGATTTGAAGAAGTTGAGAAAGTAGCTAAAAGTATGGACTGCGAAATCATGTCGGTGATGTTAAATGCGGTGAACCCTCTCTTCACTAAAATTAACGACTTAGGCTCTGATCAATACAAAGAAGACTTTGCACATATTCTATTTGAGTGGATACCTTATGGCATAAAGACAAGTACAAATACACAACAATTGAGGACATGTGTGACTGAGATTGAGAGTATGTTGAAGTGTGAATACATTGACTTCCCCATCTGTGAAAACATGGCAAATAACTTAAACTCATTTGATCAAAGACTACTCTTCTTCCAAGCTGCTGGGAGACTCTTGGATACTATCTCGAAACAAAACATCGTCAGTACATTCGGCAACTCCAATGAAAAGCCATTTAAAACACGAGAGGAGCTTGTCGATGTGTTTCTCCCATCTCTCTCGATATTGAACGAATCGATCCAAAAACAGATTCTAGTGACTGCGCTCCCCGTTTTACGGTTTCTTGCGAAGAACGGCCACAAAGAGGAAATATTTGGGAAGTGCCTCACTATTATTGGGAGTGGCCATATTTCTATAGTAGAAGTTGTGTTGCCCTTTTTCAAAGAGATAGTCGAGGAGGGGATTGATGATACCACATTTGAGATGATCGTCAGTACCCTCCAAAAAGTCGACGAGAAGACGATGGGACACTTTGAACTGATGTGCGACTTAGTTCTGAAAAGAGCGAATTTGCTCGACACGGTATTTACTCTCTTTGTGAAATTGAGTGACTTGGATGTCAAACAAATGGCTCAGGTCTTTTCTAAAATTGTGTTGTGTGGGAGTGAGATATTCAGCGGAACTATTGCGAGACTTCGAGACGACATGGTGGACTATTCTAATACAAGGGAAATCGTTTTTATAGAGAACGTGATCAGCATTTTGGCGTATAAAGGGGAGAACGAAGTTCTGACTGAGAAAGAAGTGAAGGAAATGGAAGTCGAGATCATCACAAGTTTGTCGCAAGCGAAGCCATTTAAAGCCGAGAATATCGATATCGTCGATGAAGGGTTAGAAGTGTTATTGGCGATGTCATTGAATGATATTGAGTTGCCGTTGACACTCTTTGGCGAGCTGTGGGAGATCTTTATGGCCGCAAATGTCGATGCTCGGATGAGGGGAAGACTCTTTGGGTTCTTCAATCGATTTTTTGAGAAAGAAAGTGAGTCAAAAGAACTGGCTTTAATTCCATTAGACGAACATGTTCACAACGACGATGAAATTCAATGTTTTGATTCGGTTGAAGGAGTCGAGTTAATTAAGAAAATGATTGAAGAAGTGAATGGTGGTGTTCTGATTAAGAAAGGTGAAGGGTACGAGTTTAAAGGGAACTTAAATGATATAGGGCATATACCTCCTCTTAAACACTTATTGGTCTACACCCACAATTCTAAGACATTTGAGAAAGGGATGGAGTTACTTGTGAACTTAGTAAAGAGTGTCCAAGTGCAAGATGGGTGGAAAGTTGTGTGTCAGTGGATCTCTGATATTAATAACACCCCGAACAAAACAGACGCACTTCAAAAAGAGCAAGAGAATAACTTAAAACTCCTTATTATGATATTTAGTGAGTGGACAAAGACGAGCGAGGGGAAGGCGATTTCACATATTAGATCATTAAAGGGGAAGCCAATGGAGTATAAAGTGACTGTGATAGACTCTGGAAATGTCACACAGAATACAATAACCGTTCTGTCTTCGATGACTATAGGAGAAGTCAAGAAGTATATCAACAAAGAGTTTAATATCGAAGTGTCGAATGGATCGTTTGAGATAGAAGGCGTTGATGATTTAGATGACAGTAACCAAATGGGGGAGTTGCTTCTACCAAATGAGAGTGAGATCAAAATTGAGATGAAAAAGAAAGTTGAGGAATCGACGTTTAGAGAGGAGAAACACAACTACCCGTCATATAAGAAGGAAGTGAAGATCGAGGACGTTAATAATATAGTCGAGATGTGCGGAGTTTCGAAGCAACTTGCGTACTGTGCATTGAAGAAGTATGCGTATTATGCTAATAACGTCGACATGGCTTGCACTGCGTTGTTGGATGATATGGACGCGATAACACAAGAGTATTTGAGAGACTTGGAGAAGGGAGAAGTGTACGATATACCAGAAGAAACTGAAAAAAAAGAAGAGAAGAAGACTGATCTGTCGTTTGTGAAGTTAGTGAGTGACTCCATCGAGATAGGAAAGATAGTCGACTGCTTGAAATATCATTACAACGACACAGTGAACAATTTGGTGTGGGATATAATGATGAGTCTCCCTTCGTTTGAGTATATCATTAAAACTCTTCGACTGACATTTGAAAATGATAACTCAAACCAAACAACAAAGAAACAAATCTTCACGTTACTCACAAATTCGTCTGGATTTCTGTTGTTGTATACATTACAGTTGTTGGATAAAGTACTTTTCCCAGAAAACGATAATGAGTTGTCGACTACTACAGACACTATTAAGAGCAATAATTTACTCAGAGAAACTATTGTGAAGTCTCAATCGATTTTTAACCAATTTTGTGAGGCGTTCAAAGAAGTGTTGAGAAGGGACGACTCGCTCGAACTCAGGATCATCGATAAGTTTGCAAAGATCTTCATGTTCTTCATTAAAAAGATGTGCAAACACAACAACTTAAGTTTCTCAGTGTATGAGAATGAAAGCATTTTCACGAAGTGTTTAGAACTGGTACAGAATAATCCGGACAAGAGTGGAGCGTCTGAAATCTTCATATCGATTGCGTCGAGTATTTGTGAATTAAGATTGAAGAAATACAGCATTAAAATTGATATCGATTTCCATCAGTTTATCGTAAAGTACTTTGTCGAACAACAGAATAACGACGAAGAACAAATGACAGTGATGTCATTCATCGACGTCTTCATCAACTTCTTGAAAAGTGACGATATCTTGTTATATTCACAAATCAAATTGTTCACAGAAGACCTCGAAAAGTGCTTTGGGGTGTATGGACATCAGAGAGCTATTCATTACTACTTCACTACACTCCATGGACTCATCGAAATGTATAACGGCAATTTAATCGACTTCCAACACTTATTCACAACCGCTATAACACTTTTGAAGGAATACAAATCTAACGAGAAGTTCACTGATGCGTCAGACTTCTTTGCTGTTGGCGTGTTGAAGCTTTTAAAGTTGCTCTTTGTGAAAGTCAAGACGACGCCGGAGGAGATGGAAGAATTGTCGAAAATACTGTTTTCAAAGTGCTACAGTGTACCGCTTGAGTACAAGCTGAAACAAGTCCGAAATGCAGTGTATGAGCTCTTGGGATCGATATTTGACATATTTCCACAAATCGTGAAACAGTTCAGCACTGATGTTTTCGACGAGTTCTTCCAATACAAGCAATGCCAAAAGCTTGAAGTTGTACCGAAAACGAGTCGCACGGGGTATAGAGGACTCAGTAATTCGGGGTCGACCTGTTATGTGAATTCTATCATTCAGCAAATGTTTATGATTGAGGAATTTAGAGAAACCCTATTGCGTATACGGACTGATGAGGGGATGAAGGTGACTATAGCACTTCAGAAGTTGTTTATCTCACTGAAAGGAGGGAGTCAAGACTATTACTCTGCAGACACTTTAATTGACGCAGTGGAGGAACACAAGAAGAGAAATGATTTGAAAAGCCATCAACACGATGCGTGTGACTTCTTAGTGATGTTACTCGACTGTTTAGAAGATGAAATGAGTAAAGGAAACAAACAACTCATCTTCCCGATCTTCACATTGAATATGTTGAATGTCACTGACTCGTTGGACCCTGAAATTCAAGAACATAGAGAAACTAAAGAAGACTTTAGGTTATTACCACTCCCCATTCAAGGAAGAAAGAACGTTGGAGTGTGTCTGACTAATCTTTTTAAACCAGAAATCTTCAGAGGAGACAACAAATTAAAAACGGATAGCGGAAAGTACTTTGCGGCATCGAAAAAGTATAAAATCGACTATTTGCCCCATTACCTCTTTGTCCAACTCAATCGATTTGACTCGTTTGGTGTTGATGTCATGAAAATTAATGACGAGTGCGACGTGCCGAATGAATTGGACTTGCAAAGTTACTTGAAAGAGAACATCAAAGAAGATGGGATGTATGACTTAGAGGGTGTTGTTGTGCACATGGGTAACAGCGAGTTTGGGCATTACATTTCTTACGTGTTAGTGGACAAGAAATGGATGGAATTCAATGATGTTCGTGTGATGTACTCCAATCCCGAAATAGCGATGAGGAACATCAATGGAGGATATAAAGACTTTGGTGGGTATTTATTGATCTACAAGAAACGGGAGTTTTGTGTTGAGAACAAGACGAGTGAAGTGAATGAGGAGATTCTTCGAGAGCTGAAAGCTGAGGAATATAAAATTAGTAACGATGTGATGTACCATGACAACCAATGTCTTAAATTTGTGTTGAAATATGTGAAACTGTTTGATCAAAGTATCTTTGAGAAGTCGATTGGATATTGTTACTCGTATTCATTCAGTGCTTTAAATGATGGAGAACAGTCGCTCTTATTTGTCGATAAAGTCCTCCAATTACTTCACGACTGTAATAACCCCAGTCTTGGAGAATCTATTCTATCGATGATAATTGGATTAAAAGCAGTGGAGAATCACTGCTTGACTGCTACAGAACCTATTCGAGCTCGAGCTGCCGAGTTGATTAAAACTGCTATTAAGTGGGTTGCCGTGGAAGATAAAGTCGAGTTGTTTGATGAGAATGCGATACTCTTCAAGTTCTACCAATACATTAGAAGCTTGTTGGTATATAGTAGATCGTTCCCAAGGAACTTAAAACAGTACTTCATGTTGTTTGATGCTTTGGCGAATATTGGATATAAGGCGTGTTATATGCTTGCTAAGATGGGACTTCTTCGATCGTTCTGGTGTTATTTTAAGAACAAGAATGAAAACACGGGAGAGAGTCTCCATGTCTTAATAGACGACTTCTACCCCGACTTGACATACTTTGTCACGACATTCCAAAAAGTCGGGTGCTCGACGTTCCAATCTGATTTCAATGATTGTCTGTCACCATATGCGAACACACAAGACAAAAACTATATAACAGACGCCTTCTTTTGCATCAGAGAAGACTTCTTTAAAGACACTTTGGTCAGACAATTGTTGGCTTATAATTACGAGTCGGGGGCGATTCTCCTCCAACACTTGACATATAACGACTTTGAAGTGTCATTGAACTTGGTCAACCAATTTAAAGGAGAAATCAATAGCGATAAAGTCGACCAGTACACAGCCTTCTTGGAAACAGTCAAAAAGGTGCTTTTAGTTGAAGACGACTTCCAAGAATTGAGAGTATACGCATTGTTGTCACCTTACTCTATTAAACAAACGAGTTCGATGAACTGCGCTTTACCAAAAGCTATGGCGGGAGGATTACTCAAAAAGTATGACGGATACACACCGAAAATGAGGGAAACGCTGCACTTTATTGTGGAGTTGACTCAAGTGAACAGATTTGCTCGAAGTGTTGTGATCGATAACATTGGAGCGATAGAAAAGATGGTGAAGTGCTTGAATGACTATTTTGTGGGGAACTACACACAATTTAGAGGAACTGGCCTTGACTCTCAAAGCTTGGATTTGGCTAAGGCGATTATGTCGAGTAACGAGAAAACGATTGCAAACCAAAGAGAATATAGTGACTTGGTTGAGTTGTTAAAACTTGTTGAAGAACGAGAGAAAAAGGTGTTTGATACAAAGAAGCTTGAAGCGGACTTAAAAGAAGTGAAACAAGAGTATATGGAATTGAAAGGATATAAACCGGAGACTGTGGTGCCCTCCAATTCTAATGAGAATTTTTATAATCTTGGGGCAGTGGGCTTATTTGACTAATTTTAATTTTTCATTATCGTTCAGTTGAAGTATTTTGAATCACATTTATAGAGTCCACATCTCTTCGTTTTTTAAGTTTTTTGGTAAAAATGTGAATGAAGAAAAAGGGACAAAATGATATAGTCATCACCAGTGTTTTTGTTATAGTGAACATATAATAAAATAATGAATTGGTATATTATAGTTATGTTACTGGTAACGTTTTCAGGTTGTTTTGTTCACCTTAAAGTCTGTTCTGCAGAAACAATAAGAAGAGAAAAAAATGGGTGATCCGTACCATTAAAAGGACCGACAAAATCTCAATAATCACAAACTTAACTTTTTAAAGTATTTTAGTCGTTTTGAATGAAACGTACAGTTTTTTTTTCTAGTAAAATTGTATTGTAATACATTAACTTATTGAATAGTCAAAAGACTCCTTTATTCACAAAATGTGACTTTTTTTCTTTCTCTTTCCCAAGAGTACTTTAGATTGAGTAAAACAAAATATGAAACACAAAATGGCACTCTAAAAATCAGAATGGGTATTATAAGAGTTGTTGATGCAAGCGAAAAGTCTATTGGGTATAAAATAGATATTGGATCGACGTTGCGTTTTGTTTTGCCGTATGGGTCCTTTCCATTCGATGTCACAGTGGACACCAATTATACAAACGGCTCGTACAAGGCTAATTCATACCATCAACTTAAGACGTTTGTATTCAATAGTTTAATTAAACCATAAATATACAATTTGTTTATATGATTCAAATATTAGAATATAAAAACTAATATTATAGAATTTGTCCACAGTCTGAATTTCAATTTCAGTTTGATCTACCACTCCAGGCGTCTGGTGTTTTCCAATTTCGTATCAAAAACGTTTCGGATGAAGTCTTGAAAATTGTTTATATCAATGTTTACCCACTTGTCCATTTTAGTTCTAAGAAAGTCCCAGTAAGTGGTCTGTCTGTTCAAACACACATCACAAGACTCATGGGTAAAATTTCAGAGTGGGAGAGTCATTATCAAACACTGTCGAATTGTGGGTACAACGCAATTCATTTGACTCCACTCCAACCAATTGGCCCAAGCGGAAGTGCTTACTCGTTGGTTCAACATCTGGATATTGAAGACAGTCTATTCGATGAGAAATTGACAACTGAAGAAAAAATCAAGAGAGTCGGGGAGACCGTCAAAATGCTCAGAAACAAGTACGAAATTGCTTCCATCATCGATGTGGTATTAAGCCATGTTTCCAGTCACTCACAAATGGTTGTCGAACACCCAGAGATCTGTTACACAACAGATAACTGCCCACATCTGAAGGTTGGGTATGCCTTTGATTCACTTATACACAAGTGCATTGATGATATCATCAACTCGAATTATAATGACAATTTAGGTATGTTCAATACCCCAGAAGACGTCAAAAAGTTCATCGGGTATTTTAAAGAGAAGTACATGATACCAATGCAATTCTGGTTGTACTATGTCATCGATGTTGAGAAACACAAGTTGGCATACATACAATACACAAAGGAAAATCCAAAAGCAGAGAAAGGGAAAACTGGATCACCAGAGGAATTGGCAAAGAGAATGGAAAAGTATGTACAAACGGATGGGACGTACGAGAAAAATCACATCACTGTGCCAATCAAAGACGTTTACTCACTCGTACCGGGTCTTGACGAATTTCTGAACGCACTCGACGTTCTCAATGTGGATAATTACAGGCACTACGACAACGATGTGAATGCTGCTATTCAAAACTGTTTGAACAACTTGATGTACAGCTGCTTTGATCCAAACGGACCCCACGTGAATAAATTTACTCGGGAAGTACACATACTTCCTTATTATTTCCAAGTGATTGATGGGGTCAATTCGAAAAACGAAAAAGTCCATTTGGTTGCAGCCCACCACGGCTGGATCTTTGGAGGAGATCCATTTTTCGACTTTGTTGGAGACAAGTCGTCGAAAGTGTATATCAGAAGAGAGGCAATAGTCTGGGAAGATTCGCTGAAACTGAATTATGGAACGACTTATAAGGGACATGAATACATCTGGGACCATATGAAAGAGTATGTGTGCTTGAATGCAAAATTGTTTGATGGACTCAGACTAGATAATTGCCACAGTGTGCCACTTCCAGCACTTGAGTATATATTAAACCACGCAAGAGAAGTTAATCAAAACCTCATTGTTCTGGCAGAATTGTTTGCGGACAATGCAGACGCTGTTATTCAATATGTTGTGAGATGTGGTATTCAAGGACTGGTCAAAGAGGCATTAAGAGGAAAGACCCCAAGTGATTTGAATGGTGTTGCGTACCAAAGCAGTTGGTTCAAGCCCGTTGGGGGCATCTTAGAAGAAAGCGTGTATGACGAACTCCCAGCAGACGTTCAACCAATGGATGGGTGGACGTATGACTTGACACACGACAATGAGCCACAAGAAGGCAATAGAAATCCAAACGACAGTTTGTCGACTTCAGCTGTAGTTGCGATGACAATTGGAACAATTGGAAGTGTGAGAGGCTACGACGAGTTGGTTCCATTTAAGATATCATGTGTCACCGAAAGAAGATTATACAAGAAGTACGATTGGAACGACTTGAAAAGTGTTGGGATATCAAAGGGAAAGAGCGAGTTGAACAAACTCCATGAAAGACTTGCCATTGAAGGGTACTCGGAGTTTTATGGAGAGATCAACGGTAATTTAGTCATTCTAACAAGAAGAAACCCGAAGACACATAAGGTGGTTATTGTCTACGCCCATACATCATTTTTGGGGAACAATTCTGTGGTGCCAAACACAAAGAAATTCACATTGAAGGATTACAAAGTCGACAAATTTTTGTTCTTTGGTGCTTTAACGACTGGGCTTCTCAATTTGACAAATCCAAAAGCGAAATACATTTCTGGGAATAAATGCATTTGCGACTTCACAACAGAGTATGACGTTGTCAATGAGTTTGTGACTGTGGAAGACTCGGACAATTGCGCCAAAGTCGAGTTCAAACAATTTCCCGCTGGAAGTGTCTTAGCTGTTCAACTTGATTTGATAAACCCACCTAACACGAATTGGAATATACCAAAGTTTCAATTGAAACCACAAGACTTATTCAATGTATTCTTTGGAACACCAGAGGAAGTGGGAGCGGAGAAATTTGAAGTGTTCCATCATGAGACATTGGGATTCGTTGGACTTGGTGGAGTTTTACCGCTGTTAGTGAACGACTTGTCTCAACCAATTTACGAAAAGCTCCGCAATGGAGGGCTTGATCACATCGCCCCATACATTACACAACTTGTGAAAGACACAGCACTGGGACAATTCACAAAAAGTACTCTTCTTGAAATCTCGCGGTTCCCCAAGTTTTTGATTCCAAAATACTTCGCAGCGTTTATCAAAAAACTCTTTGCGTCACTTGTTCCATCCACTTTTGAGTCAAGACTCGAATTGGCAGCATCCCAATTTTACTCGGATTGTAAAGGCACTCCACTCATTGCAAATGGTTTAGTGCCAGCCAGTCTTGGTATTAAAACGGAGAGTTTATGTGCCGGAATACCACACTTTCTCACTGGATATATGAGGAACTGGGGAAGAGACACTTTCATTGCTCTCAGAGGAATTTTGCTGAGAAATGGTCGTTTTGAAGAAGCTGAAAATACGATTCGTGCTTACTTGTGTGCGATGAGTCACGGACTTATTCCCAACTTACTTGATGGTTGTGTCAACTCCAGATACAATGCGAGAGATGCAACATGGTTTTGTATGTCGGCCATTGTAGATTACTGCGAGATGGTACCACACGGCGAAAGTATACTCGACAAGATGGTGTACCACATAGAAACAACTCAAGAAGTGCTTACACGGGTTAACAAGAATAAAAAGAGAGAGATGACTGTAAGAGACGTGATGCAGTCGATACTTGAAATGCACGCAAACGGTATTCATTTCAGAGAGAAGAACGCTGGACCAAAGATCGACTCTGTGATGACGAGCAAAGGCTTTGATATTGACATCACACTCAACCCAGAAACGGGATTCATTTCTGGAGGCAATGAAGCCAATTGTGGCACTTGGATGGATAAAATGGGCAGTTCCACGCGTGCTGGCAATTGTGGACAACCCGGTTCTTCGCGTGACGGTGCCGATGTCGAAATTCAAGGACTTTTAATGAAGGTGTTACACTGGATTAATACAAAGAAGGTGTTTCAACACGAGGGCGTGAGAATTAAACTGTATGGCGAATTTACATACGAAGAGTGGGAGAATAAGTTGCAGGCTAACTTCTCGAAATACTTTTACATTCCAAGCACCATTGAAGATGACAAAAAATATGAAGTGCAAAGTGCTTTGGTGAACAAAAGAGAGATATATAAAGACGTTGTTGGTTCGATAAAGAAATGGCCTGACTACCAACTCCGACCAAACTTCTTGATCACTTTAGTTGAAGCTCCTTCGATGTTTGTTGGACACGAAGATGAAGTGAAAAGTGTTTTGAAGAGTGTGAGAAAGCTCTTGGTTGGTCCTCTTGGGATGAAAACACTCGACCCAACGGACTGGAGCTACAAGCCAAATTACTACAACGAAGATTCAGACGACTATTCCACAGCTAATGGGTTGAATTATCACAATGGGCCAGAGTGGGTTTGGCCATATGGATACTACGTGATGGCAATGCTCATGTACAACCCAGACAACTTAGAAAAGGACAAGTTAAAGACGTATTGTCGATCGTTAATGTTTAATCACTTCAAGTACGTCAAAGAAGATAAGTGGATGGGACTTCCCGAATTGACAAACTGTGACGGTCATAGGTGTTACGCGTCGTGTGTTTCGCAAGCGTGGAGTGTTGCGACATTATTAGACGCTACAAAGAAAGTCGAGGAGTGGTAATTAGATTTTTCTTAATGTTTTGTTTTAGCAAATATCTTATTCATATTGATTTTTTCTGCCACTCAATTTGCCTAAAGTAATATATTAAATTACTCTTATCAAATCATTTCCTCAAATTGTTTACAAAATGAGGAAAAAGAATTACAAGAAAGTTTTTAAACTATAATTTATTATAAATTAATAGAAATATGTATTAATTCCTTCACAACCAATGAATAAACCCTGGAGCTTTTTGAAAGATAAAAAAAAGAAAAACAAGAGGAAAGGTGAGCTTTTTCAAAGTAGGGTTTATGTAGGTCAAGATAATGATAAAAGGAAAGGAACTTTGAAAGGAAGAACCGATGGACTTCAAGCAAGTAATACTGAGTCTGAATTCACCAAACAATGAGTTACGAAACAACGCTGAAAAACTGTACATGAATGCACTAGAGAATGACTCAAACAACTTTCTGAATGCACACGTAGAACTGATGTCCTCACCAGAAGAAGTCACAAGAAAAGCCGTGTTGGTCTATTTACACACTGCATTCAACAAAAAGATTCAACCCCCATTCTTCAATAGAATTGCACCACAATCACAAAGTCAGCTGTTCTTACATCTTATCGCCTTATTCAAAAACGAACCAAGCGTTAGTGTGATTCGATCAGTGTCGGACGTCCTCACTGATATTTGCATCAGTCTCTCAGCGTCTGAAACATACAACTTTCAAAGTTACTTTGACACGATATTGGCTATTATCCAATCACCAATTGTTAACCAAAGACTCTTGTGTCAAATGTGCATTTCTTCTATGCTTCTCATCATCACCGACGAACAACAACTGAAATTCACACCAACGTTGCTTAATGTGTTGAAATTGGGTATGGCAGACACTTCTATTGAAGTCAATTTGGCTGCTTTAGATTCGTTTATTTCATCAATCTCGTTGTACGACAAAGAAACGATGCAAAAGGAACAACGCACCTTCATTGAATTGATGCCAAGTGCAATTCAAGTCTTTGGCAAAATATTAGCGACAAACGACAGTAAGTTGATTGCCCAAGCCATAGTGATTTTAGATCAATTCTACGTTGTCCCCAGAGAAATTACAAAGAACTACATCATGATGTTTGTGCATGGTCTTATCACTGTTGCCAACAACACCGCCTTTGTGACTGAAATCCAAATTAGTGCTATTAATGCGATTTTGGAAATCGTTGGTCCATTCAAGTTGTTGTTCAAAAGAGAGACTGCGGCGATGAATTCTGTTCTCGAGAAGGTGTTTTTATGGTCGAATATGCTGAGTAATGACGTTCAGTCGTGGAACAATCTTGAAGACATCGAAGAGCCCGAGGAAGAATTAGCGGAAGGGATGTTGATGAAGATGGGAGAGATGTTTGGAGGGGAGATATTGTATAACTTTGTCATGCATCATATTGGAGAGACGTGGACATCGCAGTACACCACTTTGAATTGGTTTTTGTTGTCTTTAGAAGATGGGAGACACTTCTACAAGAACAATTTGGATAGTTTGATTGCGTTGGTGCAGAGATTGGTAACGAGCCAACACCCCCGCGTGCGCTACATGGCACTCAAATTGTTAGATAACATCAACAATAAGTTTGTGAAGAGAAGTCAACGATATATCGAGTTTTCATTGAATGCTGCGAACTCAGCATTGAACGACCAGTTTATTCCCGTTATTCGATGTGGATGTGACATCATTTCGACGATCATTGATAACGACATGGTACCCCCAAAAACGTTTGAACCGATTGCCTCTGCGATGTTACAGAAGATGATTGAGATCATGGAGAAGTCGCAGAACTACAAACTGTTCATATCGGCACTAACTGTGATGAACTTCATCATTCACTATATGAAAGGGTACATCAACTCCATTGTGCCTGTGCTCTATACGTTCTTGAAGACTAAGTTGGTCTATACTGACCAAGCGTATGCTCGTTCTGATGAGAAAGACAAGTTAAAGTTATTGAAGATCAAAGCGCGGTTGATTGAAGGGATGTCGTTAATTGTGTTTGCCTCCGTCCAATGCGTATCGGCTGACATGGTTGCCGAGATCTTTGGGATCGTCTTTAAAGTCTTCAGTCTTCCCGACACTGAGAAGGATGAGCTGATGCCATATGCGGAAAAAGCGTTGACAAGACTCTCCCCGTTGATGAAAGACAAGATGGCGCCGTACTTGCAAACGATCGTTCCCTGTGTTGTACAAAAGGCAATGGCAAAGCCGCGAATCCAACTGAATGATGAAACCGTCGATATTGGCGATGACTGGGCTTCTTCGTCCTTTTTGGGGACGAATGTATCTTTGAAGACGTCCGATATTGATGATAAGGTCGATGCCTTGTCTACTCTCGACTTGTTTGTTGAAGAGCTTGGGGAGTTAATGGTTCCTTATATCGAGCAAATGACGCCATTAGTTGAATGTATGTCCTTCAGTATGGACTCTTCTGTTCGAATGAAAGCGGTGACGTTGACACGAACGATGTTTAAGAAGCGAATGGAAGTCCTCCGAAAGACATACAATGAACGCGCGGTCGCGGAGATGAAGAGCTCTGAATTTTACAAGAAGATGTTTGTGAAGTTTGTGATGTGCATTAAGAAAGAAATTGAAGACACTGTTGTGTTGCATGAAGTTGAGTCGTTCCGAGAGATCATTGAAGACCTTGGGGTGAATGGGTTGACTGGAGAAGAGCTGAAAGTCCTCTTTGAGATGTTCACGTTTGTCTTCAATGATTATAAGACGTCCGAGAATTACAAGAATGTGGCGAGCGAAGGACTTCAAGCACTTACGGACGAAGAGATGGAGATGATTAACCATTCGGTGGAAACAGAGAGCGATTCGGTGATGACCTGTGGACGACTCTTTGAGTGTATAGTGATGAATAACACACAGATGTACTGGGAATACTACCAAACCATATTGAACCCACTTGTTATCGAGTTTTATACTGGTTCAGAAACATTCGTGTCTGTTGCTTTGCCGTATTTGGGAGCTTTGGCCACTGTTGGGAAGCGCGAAGAAATGGCGCTACAGCTGACGAGAGACATTTTGAATAAAATTGGGACAGAAAGTGGACTTGATGCGCAATTCAATGGGATGGTAGTGCTTGTGTCTATCTTGAAAACATACTCGGACGAATTTGTCAAGAACGTTTTAGAGGCGATTGTGGTCAAAATGAATGTGATGAACCAATTAAGGGGCGGCGAGCGAAATGATTTGTTTGAGATGGCCACGATGGTGACCGGAGCGTTACTCATCTTCCATCAAAACTTGTGTAAAAGTGTGGGGATTGATGTGAAGAATAAAGTCGAAGAATGGTTTGGAACAGCTATTAATGTACACACCGTGGGGGAGTTTGCGATTGACTTGTCGATCGAGGCGGTACTTGCGGGAGTACTTATAATCGATACAGAAAATAAATTGAGTATGTACGTCAACTACATTGGTAACACTATGGAAGACGAAACCCTCGACGGAGCACAGTTCGCTAAACTTAGAAACGTACTTGCGATTTTGAAAGCTAAGTTCTCGGACGAAGTGTTTGGTAAGATTTGGAACACACTCAGTATCGACGCTAAGGCTCAATTCACACTCGTTATCACGGGGAAAACACCACTTGAATAATTTATCAGTTTTATTTTCTTATTCAGTTTAGGTTGCAGTTGGGAGTTTGATTGTTTAAGATTTTTAGTAGCAAATTATAATTATTAAGTACTATTATGTTTAATACTATTTAATAATAACATTTCATATCTATTTTGACACATTTTGAATATCTCATCTTTTACAATTAATACATATTTTATTAAATTACTATAAAAAAACGGGAAAAAGAGAGAAACATTTTGATTGGAATTATTAAGAAAACAAAGATATTCTTGTGAAACTAATAATAGATAATGTTAAATCATCAAAAAAAGCAAAAAGAAAAAAAAACAAATAAAAAAGTAAATTGTGTTTGAAGTTGCACTGAACCATTTTTATTCGAAAACTATAAATTGCTATCAAATGTGCTATTAATTTTAGTTAAAAGAAAAACACATAACCAAAAAAATGATAAAAAAAAGAAAAAAAAATGGCATTTTCAATATCTTTGAAAAAAATAAAAATATTTAAAATTTTTAGAAAACATTTGTTTTTGTGTGTTTTTTATCGAATTTTTGGTGGAAACTGATTTTATACACAAATACAAGGAAATGGAACGCAGACCATCGAACCCAGAAATCATGCATCGTTCATCGACGTCGGATATTATAAAGCGTCAGAGACATCGAGAGAGAGTGGATGTAACACGAATCAATGCTACAAATGATTACATTATGTCACTGGAAGATATCATTCAGAAGAAGAATACACAGATCATTTCGCTGAATTCCAAAATAGAACAATTCAAACCACTAACGGACTTCCAACAGAAGAGTGACCCGACACAATGCGCGGACGCAGTGATCGAATTGGTGCTCAGTTTGTTGGACAATAAGACGTCTGAGATCAAAGAAAAAATATTGAAGAAGTGGACGTGTGCGCTCCAAACAAAACAATTTATTCAGACCCCAAGAAGCGTGTTTAAGTCATTCACACTGTCACCACGAAAACCAAAATTTCAATACGTCGACGTCAACGAAGAAGTCCCAAAAGTCGTTGTGAAACCACACAACGAAATTATGATGCCGTGCTATCACAAAAAGGCTAAACCTAACGACAAACTGTTTGACTGCTTGGTCGACGAATTTTGTTCGGGGCAGTCCGAAAATTACGAAAACTTCCAAATCCTCACGAAGTTGTTTATCAGCCCACTTCGAACACTTGCACTTGCACATCTTGAAATCAAAACACTTGACATTGTCATACCATTTGTGATGAGGGTGGAGCGTAACATCTCGAGATATCTCTTATTAAAAGAGGAAGACATGTGGGACAAAATTAAGACGGTCTTCCAGGAGATGGCAGAGAACGTCTCACTGATTTCCGGCTTTGAAAATAGTGAAATACACTCAGCGATATCCGAAGCGTGCACAGACGCCAATTTCAAGAAGGAACAAGAAAGCAAAATTAATGAACAAAAAAGCTCGAGTGAGACACAAATATACCCCGTCACCTTTTATTTGGAAAGTCCACTGATTTGGTTCAAAGAAAAGCGATTGAAGATGCTTGAGGACTTACTCGATGCCCTCTCACCAAGCCACGCGATGTATCAATCTCTCAAAGAGTGTTATTTAGTATATACCGACTTATTGAAAAAGTACGACGAAATTATGAAGGAAAAGGCATCAGAGAAAACCCTTTTGAAAGTTTCTGAACTTGTAAAAGATCAAGAGGTTTTCAAAAAAAGTCGGAAGTTGTTGCACTTTGGGGCATTAAAAGTTGTTGAAGAAAAAGAGGACTGGTGTATGGGATTTTTGTTCAGTGATTTGTTCTTATTAGCAAAGCCCTCTGTACCAAAAGAATATACCAAAGAGAAGGAGTCCTTACTTCGGTTTGAAAATGTGCCATGTGGGACTGATGTGGAGGTTCTTAACAAGTATTCATTTGACGAAATAACGCAGTTTGACTTGACACAATTCGATGTGAAGAAGATAGTCGATAACATCACATTGATCAATGCATTCATGATCCAAGCAAAGAACTTTAAGCGACATTGTGGTTGTGTCAATTCAAGGGAGAGTCAAGAATGGACTTCAGCGTTGATCCACATCAAACATATAATTTAACTATATAGTACTCTTTCCAGTTATAAAAAATAAGTCTTATTCCTCTATAAATATACAATAAAACACATTCTAACTTCATTCATATTTACGACGAGACGTGTCTTCGTCCAGAAGTGTCGTGTGTTTAGCTCGTCCTTTCTTTCCCCAGTCACGCGTTTGTAACACTTTGGGTAACAATGTCTTGTCCATCCAATCATTCCCCGTGGCCGCATCAAAGTCCCACTTTCCTTTAGTCACATCCCAATCACTTCCATCTAAGAAGAATGAGCCAATGTGATAATATTTCTGAAGAAACTTCCACTGCTTCTTCTTCCTCTTTTCTACGTCGTCTTGTGTTGATGACGAATCGTCCTTCTTTGTAAAGGCGACGAGCTTCGAAAGGTCTTTCTCAAACTCTAAATCGGCAAGATACTCTTTCTTCACGCGCTCCCATTCGCGAAGCTCCCACGCCTTATATTCGTCTTCCCCTCCATATTCCTCCCCACTTGTAAACTCCTCAGTCGACTCATCCGCTTTCTTTTGCTCCTCCTCTTTTTGTAATGCCAGTTCGACCAACTTCTGTCCGATCGCCTGACGGTTGATTTCCGTGATCTCGTCTTTCTGTATATCGACTTTCTCAAGTTTTTCTTCGAGTTTTTCTTGTTTTATATGAGGAAGATACTGGAGGGGGACTTCCTCTTCAGAACTTTCTGAATTGTCACCGTCGCTATACTCGTCTTGAACATTAATTTGTAAATTACCTTGTGAGACGGGTGTTTCAAATTGTTGGTGGATGACACCTCTCTTCATTGCTTATGTTCTTTAATTTATTCAGTTCGTTGTTCACTTTAAATTGTGAAAGAAGTTAACAAAAACACAAGAGAACAAGTAACAATCACTTCTTTGGGGATTGAATGAAATCATTAATCGCCTCAAACGCATCGCCTTCATCTTCTTCGTGATGATTCACACAGAGCTCATTTGGTCCTTGACTCTCTTGTTTACATTCCTCGACCATTTTTGTTTCATGTTTCTCAGATGTAATTTCTTCTATTTGAACGTTGTCTTCTAAAACTTTTGGACTGTCCTGTTTCATGTGACACAAATCAGTCTTTATCACACTCTCGACGTTCTTTAAATCTTCTTCCATTTTCTCTGTGGGTGAAAAATCTTCATGTTCTTCGATTTTCTCGTCTTTTGCTTCTTTCTTCTCTTCTTCCATTAGATTCAATGAGTTCTGTGTTGGCACAAAAAGGTCGTCTTGTTTTGGGACTTCTTTATTTAAATCCGTTGTTGGTTGTTCATTCTTTTCTGCCTTCTCAACTCTCTCTTCTTCATCTTCTTTCTCCTCAGTGACATACCCAAATGATCGGCTGTTGTACTTACTCTCACTGTAAAATCCAGCAACGATCTGGCGATTATCGTACCTCCTCTTCACTATTTCTCTCCAACACGTTTTAGCCATCTCAACGTCTTTAAATTCGACAAAGGCTCTTCCTATTCCTGACGGTCTTTTATTCGTCTCTGTAGGCCTTGGAATACTAATAGAAATAACTTCCCCGTATGCAATACACGCTTCTCTTATATCATCAACAAGTTCAATATATCTCTGTTCATTATTCAAGTCTTCGGGAAAGAACATGTTGAATAACACAATAACTCTGGTACACTCGTATTGACTCAAGTCTTCACTGTTATGAAGCACCCGTTCAAACACATCCGAATATCCCACACTCGAGTTCAGTAGTGTTGCCGTGATGATATCCGTTCTTTGGGGGAACATCTTCATACACAACTCATTCAAAGCAGCAGTCGGGAAGTGTTTAAACCCCTCCAACCCACTACACACTTCAATTTTGTCACCACCAAGTATAATACCATTGAACGCAAGGACCTTATCTTTGTATTCAGGGTTTTGGTATTCAAACAAACAGTAGCATTTCCCTTGTGGCGCACCCAGACTCGGGTCTCTCACTACAACGTACTTCTTCAATGGGTTCAAGTTCTCAAGTTTCTTCTGGATTTGTTCGTCGGACATTTGAAGTGGAATGTTCCCCATATACATCACGCCATCTCGGGGTTTTGTTGTTCCAACTTCCATCAGTTGTGACAAACTGCTAATGAATGGGAGTACTGGATTGAAGTCTTTTGGCCTTCTGACCTTCACTGATGCTCCTTTGATAGTGAGTCCGTCAAGGGAAAGTGCTTTAACTGCTTGGTCAAATGTTCTGAACTCGATGAACGCATACGACTTTTCGTAGTTCACTTCCGTACTCACAATAATGTCACTCTTGTCGTTCTTATCTACATAGTCCCCTCGCCTCATCGCGTCATTAAAAGCCTCGACGATGTCTTGTTCAGTTGTTGTCGTATTAATGTTACCAACATACACCCGTCTGCTCCCTTTCTCTTGGTGTACATTCAACTGTTGTTGGAGCAGTGAAGCGTCTGCAACGGGTTGTTCGTCCCATCTACTCTTGATCTTTTTCCCAAGTGGCGAGAGTGACGGACTTCTTGCTTTCCTTCGCTCGTCGTGACGAGGAGGCGATCGGTCTTCTTTGTCATAATACCTTCTCTTTGGTGAGTCATATCTGTCTCGTGGTCTATTGTCGTAGTGTGACTCGTATCGATCTCGATGTCGTTCGTGATAGTCCCGTCTCTCTCTATAGTAATCTCTATCGTTGTAGTCATCGCGTCGATCGCTATACGATTCGTGTCGCGATTGTCGACTTGATGATCTATGGCGCCGCGGACCTCTCCCACTCATATGTTTATTCAAGATTGTTTTATTTAGTTTCTTAATAACAAAGTATAGTTTATGAAATACCCCACAAAGAAAGAAGTTAAACGATTCAAAATTATTGTTTGCAAGCAACTGCGGCAGCAATGATAACAGCTCCGAGCCCAGACCCATCCTTACTAAGTTGGCACGTGACTTTGTCGACTGGTTGCAATAAGTTTAAGCCTTCAAGATAGTATCTCTTGAATGGTACAGACTTCTCAAAGACAGTCCCATCAATACCAGCAGTGAATCTGTCTGATAAGTATGGGCGCATCTTACGGCAAAGAGCAGCAGTGGCAGCTGCAGATAAGTATCCAGCTCTCTTAACAACAGCTTCTGTCACTTTCTTTAACACTTCTCTCTCTTTAAGAGTCGAATCAGTGATACCCAATTTGATTAAGATCGCTTCTATTCTCTTGAGCTCCAAAGTAGTATCTTCAATGACCTCAGTGTGTCTTGATGAGAATTTCTTGACATCATCAAAGTTGGTATCGTCGGGAGTATCAGAGAACGCTTCGGCGTTCAAGTGATTCGGGAAGATGACTTTCTTCTTGATCAACTCTCTTATGCAAAGTCGAGCCAACCAACCCATATAAATACCAGAGATCAGTTTCTCATATCGGTGAAGTCCCTTATTCACAGACACTTCATCAATCATATCATCAAATTTGTTATACTTCAACTCTTTGAAATTGAGTCCTCCCCACTCCGTGTTGACTACCATATATTCTTCCTTACACTCACTCTTCAACTTCTCTGGCGCAAAGTTTGAAGTCTTTTCTATGTAACATCCATTCGTCCCAGTTCCAAAGATAAGACCCATTCCACAGGATGGATCGTCATATGCCAAATTGGCAAATGTGCCGACAGTGTCATTGATGAAAGCAACTATTTTAACATTGTTGACTCCTTTAGCAAGCAATTCTTCATGGAAGATTTGGACGATGTCTTGTCCAATGGACTCTTTAATATCCCACCCTTTAGACCAACCAACTTGAATACCTTTGTTGATGGCAATCTGTTCAACAGCAAATGAAAACGTGAGACCAGCACTTATCTGTTTGTGTGTGAGTCCGTTGTCGTCGACAAACTCTTTGATCTTCTTAGCAATGAACCCAAAGAACTCAGCACGTGTCGTGGAGGTCTTTGGCATAACACACTCAACAGACTTAAGCTCACCACGAACACCAGCTTCTGGTAAGTCAAGTAACAAGACTCTCAAGTTGGTTCCTCCGACGTCAATTCCCATATAAGTTCCAACCTCTTTGCCAGTGGGTATCGGCGCGTACGTGGGCAACATCTTCAAAGAGCTTGTTTTACCCTTTAAACCGTCGTCTAACTCAGCTACTATCTTATCGACGATAGTTTCTAAGTCATTTTTGGTGAGCGTGAATTGGTCGATGATCTCTTCCATTGAATGAGAATTTAAAGTTGATAGTCCCTTTTATTCGGAAGTCTCGAAGTTCTCTTTTGTCACCTTTTAAGCCCAGGTACTATTTCATATAGTTTTGAACTATTAATGTACTACTACTGAATTATTTTGCAACGTTCTTTAAACCGCTTTTTTAAGTTCTTCGGAATTGAAAAACAAATTCAGAAGAAATGAAAAAATATACAAATCATCAACGAACAAATGGGCGTTTAACATCATTGTGCTAACTTTTGTGAAATTCAGTCTTATTTTCTTTAATAAAACGGCAAATAAAAATGATTTTTGTTCTGCATCGATTTTCCTTTTTTGTTTCTGATATGATTTTATGAGAGGTAGAAGAAATTGTGAAGCAAAGAAGCGGATGTTTCGGTAGAAATTAAGAGTTTTACGGGCTACTTGGAATTATTGATCAAAAATGAGATTCAAATCAGAATTCAAACGGTAAAAACTGAGTTATTTTTCAGGAAAACGACGAAAAAGATATTTTTTCAAATTGTTTATTACGAAAAACGAAAAAAATACTCACAAAACAAATCATCCAACAACATTTGTTTTTCAACTTTATTTCGTTTTTTAGTTGATTTATTTTATAATAAAGATATAATAAATAAATAGTACATTGCATTATTATTGCAAATAGTTTTTAGATATTGTAAATTATAGTTTATTTCTAATTCCAATTGAATTGTCACCAAACAAACAATTTTGCTTTTGGAATTTTTCGTAAAGTGGAAATTTCCAACCAAAAAAAAAGAATACAAAATAAAATACACAAAAACGATTTGATTCATCGAATTAATTATAACATTTAATTTAAATAATATAATATATTAGTATTTATTAACAATGAAACCAATTTTGGGAACGATTTTTCAGTTTGGTAAAAAAAGAAATAAGTTATGGTAAAGAAACAAAACAAACTATGTTAAAAACACAAATATATTTAATACTATTTAAAACCAAAATAAATCATTGACTAATAGTTCAAATCTTTCTAATTGTTGAAATACTTTAAACAAAGAAAACAAAATAAAAACTATAATAAAATAGTAATTAAATTATTAAAGAATAACTTCTTCTCTATCGAATTCTTTAAGTTGAATGTTACCATTTGTCTCAGACTCCAATATGATTTTCCAATCTTGAGTGTATCCAACTACCTTACCACATTCCAGCGATTTCTTTTCAGTATCTTTTGCAGAGCATATATTCACCACTTTTCCGTATAACATGTCAACTATTTTAAATTGATTCATCAATTCCTCATCTTCTAAATGAAGATTACGATAGAAAGTGTTTCTAAATATCTCCACAATGTCTTTTGTATTAAACGTGACTATTCCTACTTCTTCGAGACTTATTGCTGTATCTATTCCTTTTCTTTTTAAATTAAGACCTATTCCAATATTCACATGAAAACTATTTTCAATGTAATTGGCTTCAACTAAGATCCCAAACAACTTTTTATTATTAATGAACCCATCATTGGGCCATTTACCTTTAACTTCAATTTGATACACATCTTGAAGAGTCTGTACCATCGACACCAAAGCACTTATTCCAATTTTTCTGAGCACTTTTTCTTCTTTAACCTCAACCATAAGCGTAAACATTAAGTCTTCTTCACCACTTATCCACACGCGTTCTTCTCTACCTCTTCCTTTTGTTTGTACTTTTGTCTGAACTATCCAACCATCGCCATACTCTTTTTGAGTCCATAATTGGTTTGCAAGATCCATTGTAGACTCACATGTATCGACAATATACCACTTTGACATCTTTTCTTAATAAATAAAGTTCTTTTCAAAAGTTGTTAATTTATTTGTAAAGAATTGTGAAGTCCAAAAGTAGATTCTGTTATAGATACCAATATCATTATTTGAATAATAAATAGTGTTAGAAAAATCAACCACAAGACAATCAATTCAAACAAAAAATTCCATTTTTTTTGTAACTCTTTAAAGGAAAAAAATTGAACTTTAGAAGGAAAAAGTGTCTATGATTTGAATTACTTGTTCATTTTTTCATCGTAATCCAAGTTGAAAATATTTAACACTGGATAAGTAATTTCCTCAAGTAATGCATTAAAACTTACAGATTAATTAAAATTCTATATTTCAGCACCAAAATAATTGAAAATGGAAAATAGAAATATTATCTACCATTTTGAGATTACCTCCACAAAAAACTCGAAAATCGAATAACTCACATGGAGGATCGTACGCAGGTATACATCGACTGGGTCAATTCGTTATTTTCATCGAACAAGGAAGACATCACCATTAACTCCTTGGATGATTTGTCCGATGGAACAATATTCATTCAGATTGTTGAAAAGCTCACCCATCAACGTGTTCGCAATGCGATACTCAGTCCTGAAAATAGAAAACAGAAAATACAAAACATAGAAAGTTCGCTTGAGTTGGCACAAAAGAAGTTTGGGGAGTTACATGGTGTAGAAGTGGAACCAATAGTAGATGGAGACCCGTTACTGACTTGTGCGTATTTAGAAGCAATTAAGACGTCTTCGGAGGCAGAAGTCAAACGAACAAAAGTGATGATGAGAAATACAATTGTTAAGAGGGAAATGATACAGAAACAATCAGCCAAGATCTCTACAAACACCAACTTCACTTTTAAGACGTCGAACACAAGTACACAAACAAATTCTAAAATGGGAGATATGAGAATATCTATAGCGAAGCGACCAAGTGGGATGAAAGGACCGCCCAAAAAGCATGTTGTTCCTCAATCCCCTTTGGGGTTAGCTTCGAGTGCGTCGGGGGCATTAATGGTCGAGAAAAGTGTTCCAAATTTGAACACCTCAAACCTTCCCCCTGTTGCTCCTGAACGACCGAAAACGCCCAAAGCAAAGGCGGAAATGAAGGACATCGACCTTAACAAACCACCAACATTACCAAGCCCAAGAAAATCACACAAAGTTGGGATTTCATTCCACGACTTGTCAAGAGATAGTGTCAATGCCCCACCTGTTCCGAAAAGAAGTTATAAACACCGAAAGGATCGCCTTGAAAGGGAAGTCCGCGAGTTCACATCGAGTGAAATGGAAGAAGTAGTGGTGGTTGATGTTCAGAAGGAGAACTCGGAAGTGGTCAAGACGGAAGATATCAAGCGAATTAATGACAAAGTGTTTCAGGTCAACGGGAAGCTGTGGGAAGTTAAAGAAGCGCAAGGAGATGAGAACGTTATGGTTGAGCTGAATTTGGCGCCTAAAGTGTTGAAAGAATTTGTAGTAGCGTGCGCAAGACAAATATTGACGGAGTTTACGTACTCGGAACAACTCGAGAAGGAAGATAATGTGATAGAAGACTTACATAACTCGATGAAAGACGACTTTTTGAATCAAACGATCATTAAAATCCAAAGCTACGTCCGAGGACATAATGTGCGTCGATTCCCAGAAGTCCAAGGAATGGCGATCAGGAAATTCACGATGAAAGAGATCACATCGAGTGAGGAACTGTATGTCAGCAATTTGATTCTCTTGAAGGACTTTTATCTTCAAAAACTTGTGGAATATAAAGACGAAGAGTTGATTAAAAATACTATGAAGGACCTGGAAATGATCATTAAGTACAATCAAACGCTCTTAAATGCGTTGTTATCATTCAAACAAGCGAATAATATCTATGGGAATGGGTTTGCAAAGCAGTTCTACCAATTTACTATGTTCTTGAAATCATATACCACTTATATCAATCATCAGTCTTTGGTGTCAGACGACATCTTTCAGAAGTCCCAAAAGAATAAGAACTATGGAAATAAGTTAAAGGAGTTATCGATGCAACCGGAAGTGAAGAACCAAACCGTCTTTTCGTACCTTATTTTACCCGTTCAACGGATTCCAAGGTATGAACTGTTCATCAAACAATTAATCAAAAACATTCCAAGTTATCATAAGGAGAGACAGGACCTCTCCCGATCTCTTAAAGCAGTATCGGACATCAACAAGCACTTGAATGAGACGAGAAGAATCAATGAGAATATCCAAAGAGTCCAATTTATAGCATCTAAATTGATCACAAAGAAGTTTGATTTGGCGGATGATAAATATAGACGGTATATCCAAGGAGGGTTTGTGAAGCTTCAGGGCCATCCACAAAAGTTCTCGTTGCACGACTTGACTGAACGCCCGCACTGTATCTTACTTTTCAGCGACGTCATCTTGTTGATCCCTGCGACTAAACCACAGAAAGTAGGAGATGAGAACCAAGTGGATACTCTTCTGAATAGTGGGAAGTTTAAATGCAAGGACATCATCCCGATCTACACCACTTCGATGATCGACTTTGGTGGGAATCGCTGCTTTTTCATCAACAAAGAGTCGACGTATCTCATTGCGTTTGAAACAGCCGATGAGAAGAAACGGTGGATGAATTTGGAGGATGACTGCTTAGTCAACAAATATGCGAGTTTGGTGTCTAAGGGTGCGGAGTTGCGGAAGCAAACAGGGATGTCGTGTGAGTTAACGAATGCGGTTAACTTTGACGAGAAGATCAAATTGTTTTCGAAGCCTGATTTTGAGAGTGAAGCGTATTATAGAGACAATCAGACGGGGATGTGGAATATCTGTTACTTAGTGTTAATTGGGTCGATCATCTATGTCTTTGATAATGCGATATCATTAGTGAATAAAGCGCCTCCTATTAAACAAGTGGATGTCACCAATTTCTCACTGAAGAGTCCAGTCATCTCCACAAAGCCATCGTCCTTTGAAATATCATTTCGATACGAAGAACATACATTTGCAGCGAAAGATGATGAAGCTAAGACGCTGTGGATGGTTGCGTTAAGAATAGCATTTGTCAAATTCAATGTGTGGTCTGCGATGTCGAAGACAGAGACATTGCCACAACTTATTATGAAGGAACCTCTTCCGTTTTTGATTGACGAAATGCGAGTGAATGAAGTTACAACATTTTTGAATAATATGTTACTTGTCCCAGAGAATAGAATATGCGCGGATTGCTTGTTCAGAGAAGTCTCAACAGTCGACTTGGATTATGGTGTCTTTATATGCGGCCCATGTTCAAGATCACATATAAAACTACAACATAGAACACTCAAGAAAGGCGGCGTGCCAGTCCTGCTCTTTAAACAAGTCATCGATTTTCCACTGAAAGTGCTGTCTGTTTGTTTCTGGAATTAGTATGGTTACATTATAGCAAAACAATTAGTAATGAATAGAAACTGCAAACACTCGGAAATTTAAGGGGGAACGCTTATTTCCTTAAAAGTATCCCAGAGAACCAAATACCCGCCAAAGAAGAGTTGCAAAAATATACTGCGTTTGTTCTCTTTGTATCGAATTGAAAATCATACTTAATTGTAGATCGTCGATGGCGCAATGGATCATGAAGAAGTACAGTTTTTTACCAGCTGATGAAATTGTTTATTGAGTAGACGCTGTGAATACGGAATACAATGGGGTTGGACTCGAATAGAATTGAATCCTTATTTAACTCTGTTTTAACTATTTATTTGGATTATTTTATTCACTGAATTTTGGGAAAACAATCGGCGAAATTTCTTTTGAAAAAAAATGGAGTAAATTCTGGAAAGGAATTGTGGAAATAAAGTTCTTTGTTACATTTCATATTTTAACACTACACAACTCACAACTTTTTTAATATAATAATGATGTTACACCATTCAGTTGCAAAAGAAAAGATCCCAATGTGTATTGGAATATCGAAAATTAGTATTGATCAACCAGCTATTCAAAGTGTTGATCTAAAGTGGAGGGTTGGGAGAAGACTAAAAGGGGAAGTCAAAGATATGTATTTGGAGAGTACAAAGTCCACTAAAATATTCTTCAGTACAACATTTAAGAAGAATGGTAAAGATGGTTATAAAGAGAAATTGGTTGTTTTAAAGATTAAAGACAAGAAGATAGTTTTGGGAACATGTTCATTCAACCTTTCAAAGTTTTATGAATGCAAAGATTACATTGGAAAGGAAACAATAGAATTTGAAGGGAAGAATAAAGAGAAGTTGAAGGTGGACTTGTTTTATACGACTTTGAAAGTTATTGAAGAAATTATATCAAATGCAGTCACTCCAAAGAAATCACTTCTTTCACCAAGAATATCGTTGACTCCAAGAGTTGGTAAAGTGAATAAAATGACTCCAACTAAATCTTCTTTAAGTCCCAAAATTGATTTTACAACATCACACAGTTCACACAATTCATATTCATCACATAGTTCACAAAGAAGTCCAAAGGAATCACCAAGAATTCCACATGGTTATGAAAGTCCCAGAAAATGTTATACAAGCGAAGTCAACCCACATGTTGAACAAATTGTTAACATTGACAATTACAGAGAGTCGATGGTAATGACGCACCAAGAATTCAAAAACAAATTGTTTAAAGAGGAGTTTAGAGAATGTAGATGTGAGTGTACACAGTTGGCGTACATATTGACATGTATTGTCGTGAACAATCATCATGAAGAATTTATTGAATGTGTCAAATTGTTTACACGTCGATGTTATTGTCTCGAAGACAAGCATTATATCTTTGTATCACTTTTTGAAACAGGTGCAATGCTCAAAATAAAGAATAAGGAAAAAAGAGTGGAAAGCTGGAAGAATTGTTATGAAATTGTCTGCAAAACAGTTGCGTCTATTGGTGATGACATTATTGAGAAGATAAGAATGAGTGTTCAACCAGCAATTAAATACATCAATTTAGTCAAATCGAAATTTGATAAATTTGAGAAACCAAAAGAAGTACAACATATTGAGGAATTTATGATAATGTTTGTTGTTGATTTGAACTTGTATTTAAAGTGGAAAAGAGAGGGAAAATACACAATAAAACATGGAGAAGAATTGTTCTCTATTATAAGTGATTTAGACAAGAATTTGAACTCGTTGAGGTTATCAATTGAGTTGTCTAAATTGTTGATGGTCGACGATAAAAAGATGTTACAAAATGAAGAATTCAGGCTGGCGATATGTCCACATATTCCGATTGAAGATGTTGCTGAATTTGTTTTGAAAGGAAGAAGAGACAAAGAAAAGAATGAAAGTTTGGAGCTATCACAAGTGGTGAGAACGCTTCAAAACCAGAGAGTTGTCGATCAACCCTTTTCTCCCCCATATTTCAAGACTCTTAAAATCAAAGAACTCATTGATTCCACACCAATATTTAGTGTACCAATAATGTCATTTGAAAAAACTGTGTTTGCACAGAACATACTCTTGACCAATGACTAACTCTTCGAAAGTACTTATCTAATTCAATAGTTGTTTTTATGATATTTAAAAATAGGTAGATTCTCTTGTTTTGTAATTACTTTTACTAAAAATAGAAATATGAATTAAATACTTCTAATAATTATATTATAATGATTGGATCTTTTACAAAACAAAAATACTACGACTGTGGTAAAAAATTATCGAATTTATAAAAAAACTATTACAAACGACAAAAGAACTATATCAAATGAGAAAAACAATTAGAAGAATAACGTTTGTTTTTAGAACGGCAAATCAAGTTAAGTGTTGGTTTCAATTGGAACACAGGCATAGAACTTGAAAAAGGATAACGTTTCTATTTTTTCCACCCCAAATACAATTATATGAAACTATCTATATACTATACCTATGAACTAACTATTGAAAAAAACCTTTTTCTGAAAGAAAGTATAGTATATTCTAGTATAAGTGTTATACAAAAAACTAGAAACAAGAATTATAGTTATTAGTAATAACTACTAACAAAAGTCATACATTCCATTATTGTGGAAATTCTCGGGAAATTAATAAGAAAATGGACATCACCATTGTTTCATGTTTATTCCCGAAAAAGATAAAAAGCTTTGCGTTTGGCGGAGAAATACGGGAAAGTAATGAGGAGGGCTATAATAATTAACTCTGTGATTTTAGTAAAGTTACCCAAGCCAAAGAAAGAACTCAAAAAGACGGGGATTCTTTTTTGATGCTCTTGATAACTAAAAAATCAATTAGTGTATGGCAACAGAGAAAGTTTGCAGTTATTGAGATCTTCAAAGCGACTGACCTATAGAAAGGTGACGCCAGTTGTCCGATCAAAGTTGTAGTAGTTGGCGATGGTACCGTCGGTAAAACATGTCTTCTAATTAGTTACATAAAAAATAGTTTCCCACGAACTTACCTTCCCACTGTCTTCGATAACTACCTCACCACAGTCAAGTTCAAAAAGCAAAACATATCGATGGAGCTTTGGGATACCGGTTTGTCTTCTTCTTGAAATCCTTGCCACCGTTTACTATTCTTTTCTTATTAATTTTACTATTTCAAATGAGTCACTGATTTCAAGCTGGGCAGGAAGAGTTCGACCGTATCCGTCCACTCTCATACAAAGACACAGACGTCTTCATCCTCTGTTTCGCTGTCGACAATGATAGGTCGATTAAAAATCTGACGTCCAAGGTTTGTGCTCTAACATTGCCTCAGAATAACATTTTGAATAACAAAACTGAAGTGTAGTGGGTGCCTGAGGTCAAACACCACTGTGCAAGCGGGAAGCTACTCGTTGTTGGAACAAAAACAGACTTGAGAAGCAGTGCTGAGCACCAACTCAAACTACAACAGAGCGGCGGATCGTTTGTGACTGCGGCCGAAGGTGAGGAGCTTGCGACGAAAATAGGGGCGATCGGGTTTTGTGAATGTTCTGCGCTGACACAGGACGGATTGCACGAGGTGTTCAATAAAGCAATAGAGGCCACTTTAAATATAAAAGACGTAAAAGAGAAGAAAATTTGTTGCTTGCTCTAATTGAATTTCACCTGTGATGGTCTTCAGGTTCTCTCTCCTCTCAATCACTAAACAAAAACTCTTTTGTTTTTCATTTCTAATTGTTTTGGGCTTAATAACCTCGTTCCTGGTTTATTATTTTTATTTTGTTACTTACAATAATATTTCTTAATAGTATTAATATAATTATAATAATTTTATAGTAATATTGATATGGTATATAATTATATATAGTTAAAATAGTTACAATAGTTCGGGTGTTGAAAAAAAGTACGTTATAAAATCTTAATTAATTTTAATTAAAATAATTATACTAGTAATACTACTAGTTATCCATACTGTAGTATTATAATCTAGTATTAATATAATATTATTTGATACTATACAAAACTATTAATAAAATTAACGTTGAACACTGAAAAATTCAATTGAATGAAGCCAACTCTACTCTATCTTTGAAATGTTCTGCACTAATGTTATTGACCTTAGGGAGAACATCCTCCAGAGTCATATTTTTAGTTGAAACAGCAGAGACGAGTTGGTCGATCAAATCGTCTTCTGCCTTTATTTTAGCCTTAAGAGTTTTTAGTTTGATTTCCTTCTCTGGGGTGTCTATGGTGAGTAATGTCTGTGGGACGACTTTTGCTTGTTTGTGTGAGTTGATCCAGTTTTTCGTTTGATCGACAAAATCCGTTGCGTACAAGATTTCAGTCTTCACTTCCTTGATCTTCGCTTCGACTTTCAGCTGTTTCTCCTTCTCTTCCTTTTCCTTCTTAATCCGAATTTGCTCTTGTTCGGCCTTTTCCTTCTGATTAATGTACTCTTGTATTATCATTAAGTGTTCTTTACTATTCAAATAGTTCTCAACTAACGTCTCAAATGCGATTTGTGTGATAAGTCCCTTATCGAGTAATTGCTTGAACCCAACTATCGTCTTCTCGTTGTCTGGGTTATATCCATCTGGACAGTTGATCCGCTGTGGCGATGTTTCAACTTTGTTCTCTTCAACTTTCTCTTGAACTGGTTGCTCGACAACGACCTGGGGCTGAGTTGTTTCTACGACTACTGTTTGTTGTTGAACTTGAAGTTGTGTGGGGTGTTCTTGTTGTTCTTGATTCACCTCTTGAACATTTTGTTGAGCGTTGTAATCGTTGTGTTGTTGAACATCTTGTTGTTGTTGAGACTTCGAAACAGCCATTTGGGCAATCATCGGATATCCCTCTGATGTTTTTTGAATTGGATCGACTTCCTCGCGAATGCCTTGTTTTGGTTGGGTGTAGTAATTTGTTGGTCCCATTTGTGGGTCTTGTTGAATTTGTTGTTGCAACTCTTGTTGAGCGTTTTGAATGTTCTGCGTGGTAGTTCCTTGCATTTGAGAACCTTGTGGTTGTGTGTAATAAGGTGATTGTTGAGGAGTTTGAGTAAATGGGTTTTGTTGCATATACTGAGATTGTGGTGGGTATTGTCTTTGACCATACAGACTCTGTACATTTTGTGGTGTTTGAACAGTTTGTTGTTCTTGTTGTGCCTTTGGTTGGACATAGTAAGGGTTTGTTTGTGAACTTAATTGAGTACTTTGAGATGGTGGTTGTTGTACTTGTGTTTGTTGGGCGTATTGTTGTTGCATACTTTGGTATTGTTGAGGCTTTTGCATTGGAGGCATTTGAGCGTAAGGAGAGTATTTAGTTTGTTGTCTATCTTGTTGTTGTTGAATCGGTTGTTGTTGTGGATATTGTTGCATAACATAAGGATTAACTTGTCTTGAATATTGCGACATGCCTGGTTGATACATTGAATATTGAGTGCTCATACCTTGATAACTTTGAGCGCTTTGTGGGTATTGTTGTTTTTGAGGAGTTTGTTGTGACATTGGGTTACCTGGGATGATAGGAGTATCTCTTGATTGATAGGTTTGTTTCTGGTATTGCGACATATACGGGTTGTTCCCATTAAACATGTATTGTGAATAAGTCATTCCGTTCATCGACGCAGTCATTGGAAGTGTAGCCGGTCGAGCTCCTTTCGGACTTTGTCTTACGGGTGGTGATCCACCGAATGAGATCGACAAGCTTTCCAAGACCATCAACAAGTCGCTCGATGGGTTCCATTCCTTCCCAACTCGTTTAACAATTCCATTTTCATCGACCTCGCGGTGGTTCTTCACAATTTCCATCCCTTCTTTGATGTCACAAAGAATTTCTGGAGCGGAAATTGGGTATTCAAAAGTGAAAGAAATAGTCAGAGGAATACCAAATGCCTTTCCATTGTAATTAATAGGGAGAAATCCACTGAGTGTGAGTTGTTGTTTTGAAGTCAGTCTTGAGTTCATCACTGATGCTTTGAACTTCGGGTACTTCGACAAGATTCTTTTCACCTCTAGTTCGACAAAGTCCGCGTCCTGATAAAATCGCAATATTGGGTTGAAGGTGTTTTTTAATTCGTTCATTGTATTTTTCAAGTTCCCATTTTTTTCTTCTAGACCAATTTTTCAGATACAAAACAGTTGACACTCTTATCCTTCATTCCCGTTTTTCTGTTTTTCATTTTGTTTTCAAAATTCAGGTAAAAAGTCGATGAGGAACTGAAAGAAATTCATCAGACTTTTTTCCTCTTGTTTTTTAAAGGCTTTTTTCTTTGGTACAACTGTAATTAAATTATAATTGTTTTTACTATAATGATACTAAGAATGAGGAATTGTTATTCTCTTATATAGTATAATTAATAATATAAGAGTATTATATTAGTAAATATACTATATGATAATTATAATTATACTATATATTATAATAAAATAATAACTGGTATCCAAAACTAACAACTAAATACCTGAAAATAAATTTAGTGTAAGTCAATCTTCTTGAAGACTGAAGTAATATCCTCAAAGACCTCGCGAATAGTTCCTAAGTTTTCGATACCGTAGTATGGGACTTTTCTTTCTTTAACGGCTTTAATGATGCTGTCACTTTGTTCGTGGTAGACTTCAAGTCTCTTTTTTGCAGCGTCTGCATTGTCATCAGCTCTGCCGCTTGTCTTTCCTCTTGAAAGAATTCTTTCAGTCATCACATTGTCTGGGATTTCCAAGTTGACGACGATGAGTTTCGCGTTGTACAATTTGGCTTGTTCGGTAAGGTGGTCGAGTTGATCAAGAGTCCTTGGGTATCCGTCAAAGACAATAACCTCTTTAGTGTTCTCCTTGATGAATTTGTCGAGCATCTCGGCGATGATTTCGGACGAGACTAATTGCCCGTTGGCGATGATCGATTTCACTTTAAGACCAATTTCACTCTCGGCCTTGATCTCCGCTCGCAATATGTCACCAGTCGAGATGTGGACTGAGGAATGAAGGTACTTCACTACATTGTCGCATTGTGTCCCTTTTCCAGCACCGGGTCCGCCCATCATCAATAAGAAAACTTTGGCCATTCTTTGTGTTTGTTTCGATCTCTTTTGGTTTAAATAGTTTGAGGTCAACGCTCAAAGTAGCGCGGCATTCTTTGATAGAGTCGTTTTCTTATTTGTTGTGTATGTGGTTTATTATAGTTTATTGGTAAAATATATTATTTGTATAGAATTTGTCAAAACTTGAAAACAAGAAAAAAGAATGTGCGCTAGGGTTATCCTTTCAAGGAATAACAAAGAGAAAAAATTGAATTGAGCATGCTGCTGCCAGATTGACCAATTTCATGTTGTTATCACGTAAATTCAAACAAAAACGAACGATTTGATTTGTACTGAAAACAAGAACAGTCGGCAAGTTTTTATTATTTAACAATGACACACCCGCCTATTACCTGAAATTTTTAACTTTACTTCGTGGAGAAAAAACAAAGGTTTGGTAATAATTTTATTAGGTCAGCCACCCATCATTTAGGCGAAATAAATATTTAGTTAAAATAAATGTGATACAATTACATTTAACTTTGAATAACAGTAAAAACCGAGAAATAATATAATAATTTTTTTAAACCCAAAAAGGTGTGAAAATTCTTGTTCAATTCAAATTGGTGCTTTTACACATGAGTTCGTTACACTAAATAGTGTATACCATAATACATCTCAAGTAGTTTTTCAAAGTATAATAATTAATTGAAATGTATTTGTCTTTAATTATTGTTAATAAAACTACTTTTGAATAAGAAAAAGTCGATGAATTAGAAATTTAAATATACGACATATTCCATTAAAAATTTTATTAAAAAAAGGTCGCATTTTTGTTTTATGAGTATTGTGAATTATTGATGTCACACTTGGTAATAAGCATTGTGAGTTGATTCAAAACAAAATATAAAAAAGGAGATTGAATAATTAATAAATTAATGTCTTATTTGAACAATGTGTTTGTTAAGCATTAGAAATGATAAGAGATGCACTTGTAGTTGGATATTACATCTTTTTAATGATGAAAATGTTGGTTTGACAAAAAGTTTTAAAATTAAACCATACAAAATACACATGTCAAGACAAGTAAATAAATTCAATTATAACTAATCAATCGGTAAAGAATCCATATTTAACTATTGTGTTTGTTTCACAACTTTAGTTATGAATAAATTCCCAACTTTATGACAAATTGTGAAAAGTCAAGATTTGTGAAATTCATTTAGAAGCTATTATTTGATAAAATAAATACTTTTTATTTATTCAAATTTGTTCAATAAAACTTACAATTAATAATTTTAAATTATAAAAAAAATATTTTTTTTCAAACAATAAAAGATCAAAAACGAAGAAAATTCTTTATGCCAATATTTTAAAACTTAATTTAAGTTTATTACAACAGAATTTTTTGATTAATTATTTTTAACTAATTTAAATTGTTTTTTCCAATATATTATTGATTGTGAATATTTTTATTAAGAAAAAAACTATTTATGAAATGGTTCGTTTAATCTTTGTAGTGTTAGTATAATACAAATTCCATTATTTATCCAATACTCGATATTAATCCACTTATTATATACAATTGACATTGGACTTTTCAAATATAACACTATTTGTTTCATCTATTGACAATTAAAAAGACTTTTTCAAAGTCAATCCGAAACTTTTTTTCCAATAAAAAATAACACTATTTCTGAAAGAAGACTAAGATGTAAAACTTGTTTAATTTTTACCACAATAATAATATCTATGAATAATATTTAAAAAATGTAAACAATTATTATAAATTGCGGTGTTAGATAAAACCATTATCGTCAGTAACAAAATTCCATACGATAAGAAAGAAGTTTAATTACTTTTTGCAATTATGAAATTCCTTCAATTTAATGGTTTATATTAAAATCCACAAGGAAGTCAACCCAACAACAAATATAATCAAATTGCTTGTGGATTGAAGAAGAAATATAATAATTGTCCAACAACTATTTTTGAACATAAAATGAATATTGTTTTATTGATATTCTTAAAACAAAAGGTAGAGTTCATTCAAATAATTTAAATATACACACTTTCCACACCAAAAAAGTGTAAAATTTATGCAATTTATTCAATGTCTTTTTGAACAACAACATTAAAAAAGTAATGCCAATTTATTATACACAAAGCCAAGAAAGATGTTTATCGTAGTTTGTCAATAAACCAAAAACAAATCTTACTATTATAATAATATAATAAAAATAAATAGTATGATAAATATACTTATTATTTGGCATGTATGTTTTTGTTTACGAAAGTATTATTATTACATCTTGGCATATCAGACTATTTAGAATCGTGCAAATAAAGCAATTAAATAATATGATTTTTTCAAACTAATAAGCGGGTTTTTAAGTCAAACAAATCGAAATTGGTTACAAATAATAAAATAAAAATAGCATATCGAAAGTTTCTAGACAAATGATTATATTTTTGGTTCTCTAAAAGGTCTTGCGAAATGAAAAGGACGATAAAGTAGAGCAAATTTTGACCGTCATGGAAATCAAAAAGGTTGGTATAAAATGCGCATACAAAGACGAGAAACGAAGAAATTGGCGAATGGAGGTTTAGTTTTCAAAGCTAAATGAAAATTATGGTTTGTGGGGTGGGGGTGTTTGGGATAAAATAAAAATATCTTCTCGTATTGGTGCGAGCCAAAAAAGAAAATAAGACAGTGGAAATTAAATTAACTCTAAAGAAGTGAAGAAAATACTCAAACTATTTTTTTCATGACAAGAGCCCAAGACTCAGCTGGGGACAAACACGAAATCAACTTTAAGACGATACGAAACACACTCGTCTATCAACAAGGAGCTCTCGTTTCGCTATTGGTTCAACACATTCCTCTTTCTTTTAAAAAGCCGTTCAAAAAGGCAAAAGTTTTCGAGCAACTTTTGACATTAGATACTATAGGTGAAGGGGAAGCTTCAATTAACGTACCTTTATTTACTGAGAAACGATGTGAAGAACGTTTTAACTTTGAAATAAAAAATGGGGTTCTTCCAAAAACGGCAAAGAGGCGATTAGAGTCCAATAGGTTAACAGAGCCAGTTCAACTTCTCTGCGACTTACTTCGAGAATTTGGGTATTATTTAGAAATCGAGAAAAAGAGGGGGAGGAAAGATACGTTGAAAACCGAACATGTGACTTCCGTCTGGAAAGACGGGGCTTGTGTTCTTAACGAAGAGCAAATGATTGAAAAAGGAAAATATATGAATGGGTATGTCCTTGATTTGTTGGAGAAAAAAGAACCTGTAACAATTTACTTTGACTTAAAGGGAATCCATTCTCGATAACGTCTTGCATTCTCATTCTCTTTTTAGAGACATATGTGAAATTATTAAATTACTTCTTGTGTTTTTTGCATTTGAAAATATTCTTTTGGATCATCCTTTATTATTTGTACAATCATTTTAATAATGATGGTTTCTTTCAGTTATTTTACTTTGAAGACTAAACATACTACAATGGAATTGAATCCGTCCATAAATCCGCCTCTTATTAATAAGTCAACAAAAATCGAAAAAATAAATTCCAGTAAAAAGCTTGATTATATTTTTCGCAAGACACTTTTGAAACAAAACAAATGATCGAAGTTGCATTTTAAAATGAGAAGTCAACCAGACCAAGCCGGCTTCTCCAAACAGGAACAACTTATTGGTTATTACCAATAACTTATTTGTATCGAGAATGGGGTAGAGAATTCACTTTATAATGTTGGATATAAGATACATTCTATTTTAATAGCATGATAAATAACAACAGATACTAAATCAAAGCAAAAAAAAACAGTTTTATTCTTAGATAATGATTTCAAAAAACAGAGTTTTTTTATAAATAAAGTTAAAATAGATTTCGTTTTGAATGCCAATGGCAATCGGAAATTGATGGGAATTTGCACTAAGAACTCAACCATTAAAATTTATCGAGTAAACTCAAAGTAATTTCATTACTCCACAGAACTTATTTAATTCAATTAAACCCCCATTTTCCATTTGAAAGAAATGCAACTTTTGCGAAAATGGTGAGAAAACTTCATTATGGAAAAATGGATTTGTTGTTTTTAACTCCAAATTTGGTGTGAAATGTTTGTTAACTTGTTTTCTCGTCCCAATATTTGAATCTTCAAATACTCTTAATAAAGAATGTCGAAATTAATTTGTGCTTTTTGAAAACCATTTTCTTAAAACTTCAAAGTATAATTGTCGCATCTTCTTTATTAAATATAGTATATAATTACAAGAACGACTTGAGTTGTTCTGATGTGCTATATAACAGTGACAACACAAAAAACGCTGACAAAAAAAGCGCAAGATTTGTTTGTAAATTGTTTTCAAAGACATTTGTATTTATCTGTTTTAAGCAACAACGCCACTCAAGCAAATAAATCACTGTTGAAGAGCTACAAGAAGAAAATTACATCAACAAAGCCTGATGAAAAATATTCAACTCACTGAAAATCAATGCAAACCTTTATGCAGAACTCGGGCTTGTCCATGAAGAGCTTCATCGCAGCATCAAAGTCATCGAATTTAAACCGGTGTGTAATAAGCTTCATTGTTGATACCCTTCTTTCTTCGATCATTTTGATCAAATCGTCGCAGTGTGTTGCATCGACACCACCAGTCTTAAAAATGAGGTTCTTCCCATACATAAGTGGCAACTGAAATTTTTGGTCACTTTCATACATCGCGACTAATGACACCACACCATTTGGCCTCGCGATTTTCCAAGCCATTTCAAACGAGTCGTCACTCCCAGCATTTTCAATCACGCAGTCCACTCCCCTCCCGAAATTCAATTTTTTAATTTCCTCTTCGACATTGCACTGACGTGGGTTGAAAGTAAAGTCTGCAAAATCTTCCCTTTTTGCAAACGCAAGGTTCTCGTCTTTAATATCAATCCCAACAACCTTTGCTCCCAACATTTTTGCCATCAACATCGAGCACATCCCGACAGGTCCACACCCAATAACCGCGACAAAATCATTCTTTTTCACCTCCCCAAGTTCACACCCAAAAAATCCGCTCGACAAAATGTCTCCGACAAAGAGACAATCCAACTCAAACCCCTTTTGCACTTTATTTAGTGAGTGATCTCCATGCATCACTCTGACGTACTCTCCAAAGGTTCCGTTTTGTCGACACCCGAGTTCCCAACCACCATTTTCACAATTGTTGATATATCCATGTGTACAGTACCAACACTGCCCACAGTGTGTGATGCAGTTGATGCTCACCAAATCACCAACTGTAAATCTTTTAACAGCCCCGCCGACTGCAACAATTTCCCCAACACCTTCGTGCCCAAGTATTACACCTTCCTTTGCGCGTGGAACTTTCCCTTTTATGATGTGGAGGTCACTTCCACAAATGGACGCATAGTGCATTTTCACAATGACATCGGTTTCTGCTTGAATACCTGGTTTTTCGACGCTTATCAATGTAGTTCCGTTCCGCCATGCAAATCCTCTCATTCAATATTTTTAGTTTTTATATTATTTTCTTTTATTATAAGTATAATATATAAAAGTATAATAAAATGTTATTCAAATAATTTATTGAGTTTATTAACACATTATTATTTTTAATTTATAATATAAAAAACTATTTTTGTTGTATTAATTTAATTAAAAATAATACTAAATATTATTAATAATCGAATTGTTTTTTCTCCTTTATCAGTTGGTCAAGTTTTTATATTAAAAAAAAACAAATTAATACTTTTTAGTTCATTTTAATTAAAATAATAATAATTAATACTAAAAATATACAATCAATTTGTGAGATATTTAGAAGTAAAATTTTAATAATAAAAACCATTCTCAAAGCTAAACCCAACTTACACACACAATGACTTTGAAACCAAAATTTCAAAAGCAAATAGAATTTCCCTTGTTATCTAGTCCTCAAACGACAAAATTTTCGCCACAAAATTTTGGTTTCTCAGTACCTTTCTTTCTCTCATGACTGGTTCTGTCATAGCCAACTTGTTTTTACTTGGCGTCGCGTGGACAATTCCTGCCTTTCTTCTTGCTTCTGCCAGGTCCTCTGCGCTTTTCATCTCATCGAACGCGTGGAGTTCTCTTCTCCATTTGCGGACTTGTCCGTCCCATGATCTTTTCGAGCAAACCTGATTGATCTCTGGTGTTTTCGGGTCATTGAATTGGCGACTCTCATAAGGGACATAGTGGGTGTAGTTCTTATATCCTTCAGTAGCCTTCCCATAAGTGATTTGCTTTTCCCTTGCCTCGACCTTTCTACTGTCTGTTTCGATGATCGGGAGATGTTTCGAAGGGGTCTTGTATGGGATCTCTGCTCGTTCTTCTATAGCTACAATAGCTTCTAATGGTAAAGTGTATGGGATACTATTCTCTTTAGTACTTAATAGTTCTTGTATAGTATACGTCAACTGCTTACGAGTTCTATAGGGTTTAGCATTGACTTCAAATTGAATGGATCGACTTGGGATTGACTTAGCAGTTAATGTACGAGTGACATTGGGCGAAATGCTCTTGAATGCTTGGCGTGGTTGAGTTGAAAAACTCATCTCTTTTTCATATTAGAGTTACCCTATCTTTATTTATAGCAAAAAAAATTAGTTCTAGTTCGTTTTGATATATTTTTTTCTCTTTTCGCCTTTGACTTTTCGTCGACTTTCGAGATCCGCGGAGCCACCGCGAACCTTGAGAGCCAACGAGAGACTCGGGCACGCGGAAGTACTTACCGACATGATCGGTAAATACTTCCTCGGAGAGAGTCTGTGTAATTATAAGATCAATTTTGAAGATGATTGATCTGATCAACCCTCCTCCAACTTTGTTAGATTTTTGACTAAATCGTTGTCTTTTGAATTGGTTTTTGTGGCGTGACTACTTCCTTTTTCAAAACTTATAGTTAAAACAAAATTATAAATAAATTAATAAAGTTTAGTTTTTTAATGAGTAACAACAATTTTATGATGTTTTTTGTTCTTTTAAGGTTAAAAAAAACTATAATATATGTAATTAATGGGAAATTTCGGGATAATTACCGAAAACAATTATATTTATAGACAATTGAACGTGGACGAAATAAGTAAAAGTACCTAGATGCCTCTTCAAAAAGCGGAGTCTTTAAAGCCCAACTAATGAAATTGACTGAATAAAAATTGTTCTCAGAAACGCTGTGGATAATATTTAATTATTCGATTTTTATATAGACTCATGAAACATTTTAAACACCTTTTCTTACTTGATTACTTCCAAAAGGTGATCACCAAATAATTAAAAAAGTTCAGTCACACTATTTTATTCAGTACTATTTTAAGTCAATAATAAAATTGAAGTGAATGATTATCATTATTTGTAAACCCATTTTAAAATCGAAGAACTGAACTGAAATACATTAAACTCGGAAACATGTCAACACATAACGTTCGAGACTTTGAACACTGGAAAAATGGCGAACTAATTTATGACTCAGACAAAGACCCTTATACTATGCAATTTATTCAGAAAGTACTTTATGGACGTCACAACGTTGTCGTTCTTATTCAAACGACTGATTCCAATTTATTTGGTGTTTTCCACTCCTTCATCCCGACACAAGATGAAGTCAAAAATGGTCCCAAACAATACAACGAAACACCAAACGACGACAAAATGTTTTTGTTCTCCATCAAGCGACATGACGAAAGTCAATTCACTTTCAAAATTTTCAATAAGATGTTAAAACAAACGAAGTCTTCATTAGGGTTGTGCGCAACAGAAAAGGATGGACAGTACATTTATTGGATCGGCAATGCAATTTATCTCATTGGAAAAATTGGGGAGAAAAAGTCTCAGACGAATGTTTACATTCACCACTACTATGAGATGACTACCAACTCAGACCTCATCGGTTATTCCGAGCGAGAGAAGTGGTTTGGTGTTGATCGATTCTGTGTTATCCAGTTGTAGACTTTAAAATTCTGTTTCTATTTTTATTTTATATAATCCATTAGGCACATCGTACTTTGATTCCCTAACATTTTCAATAACATAAATGTTTTGTATCTTCTCACTCTAAAATAATAGTTTTTGAGGATAAGACTTTGGCCCACAAGTGTGGATTCTCTTCTTTTTTTTATTATTTCTGAATTAACTATATTCTAATAGTATTTTTATTATATTTCAATGATATACTGCTTCTATAAATTTAGTTATGTCGATATAAAAGTAATGGGCAATTGATCACAGTAATTGGTGACGTGTACGAATTAAATAGTTTCGTGTTTAAGATTCATTACCAACGATGAACAAATACAATTTATTGTTAATTTATAGTAAATTAATAGTTAAGAGAATAATAGTTTACCGGTATATAAATATATAACACGTGTCTGCCAAAAGGAAGCGAACTTGATTTAGGATGTCGTCAAGAAACTGTATTTAAAGAAAAGATATAACTGACTTTTTAGTATGAGCAGCGCACTTGTGAAGCCATCTTTTTTTAACCCATACATCGACTTCAAGAAAAACCAACGCATCTTTGTCGACCCTACAGGAACGGGGCACTGGGAACCAGAAGTTTGGGAACCGCCTTGCGAACTTTTAGAACAACCGACGGGGTATAAATTGAAAATGGAAATCCCTGGTGTTGATAAGAAGTCGCTGAGTGTCAAATACGCGAACAACTGGATAGTCATTTGCGGGTCAAGACAACTTGAAGGGAAACTTGAGTTCACTGAGTTCTTGTATGGGAATTTCAGAAGGGAAATCCCATTGCCGGCAGATGTGGATGGGGCCAAATTAAAAGCACAATATCATGATGGGACACTCATCGTTAATATTCCGAGAGCATCTCCGATGGGATGGGTCAAGGTGGATGTTAATTAAGGAACATCCCAATTTAATTGAAATCTATAAGTTATAGATTATTTGTTATTCTTTTATACTAAACCAATACTAACTTCAAATTTCAAATGGAAGTGCTTGGGGAGTATACGTCGCTTATTGAAAATTGGACACGTCTCCGAGTGAAAGAAATCTTATATGACTCTTACAAAGAAGATATGACACCAAAGGAGATCGACGAGAAAATAGTCTTTCACCGCCAAGTTATTCTTTTGGTACAAACAGAAACCCACTTGTTTGGTTCGTTCATTGGAACGGTTATCCCACACCCAGAAGAAACACGTTCGACGGCAATAGAAAGCGATTCAAAACACTTCATCTTTTCACTGCAAAATAAATTGAACCGACCAATGCGATTTGAACCGGGATTCAACGAAGAGTTCACTTCACTGTTTGTGTATGGTCTTTTCAATAAGAGAAATGTGGTGTCGTGCCCAAACGCGTTTTTCATTAATGTTGGTACCAACTCGTATGTCACTAAGAAGTGTTTTGATTACTACTTGGACCCAGAAAACGTCGGAGCAGAAATCTTTGCCGATACAGTTCTTCCAAAAAGATTTGCTGTCAAGCGACTTCTATTCATTCAAATGACTGATGAAGAATAAGTAATTGTGAAACCATTGTTTATAAATTTGTCTTTTAATATTTCAACTAATAATTTAACTATTTTGAAATTGATATAAATACAATGCTTTGTTTTGAAAAACACCGAATTAATAACGTCAACTCAATATATTTAAATGAGTAAATTGGATGGGTACCATATAATGGTGGTTTCTCAGTACTTTATAAAAGTACAAGACTTCATTACTGTTGAAAGTGTTTGTAAAAGTATAGGGAACATGGGGAAGTTCCACTTCAACCCACTCCCTCTCACTTTAAAAACTGTAAAGTACTTTTCTAATATCGAGACATTATACATTTGGAAAAAAGAAGACGAGAATTTTGGGAATCCGATTATAAAAGGATTATTAACTGATGTGATGAGTAAAATCAAACATGGGTTCAAATATTATAAGGAGTTTTACCAAATATTAGTGTGGTATGAAGTCGACTATTTCACTGTAAACAATAATTGTAACAGAAACATTATATTTAAAAATGTTGTGTTTACTGAACGAGATAAAAACATAATTGGAAAGAATATAACAAGATGTGTAAGACCTTTGGTGGCGACGGTTTTAATTGTCGCTATTTAGAAGAAATGACAATACCACCAAGTGTCACAAAAATTGGTAAAAATTGTTTTTATGGCTGTGTCAATTTAAGTAGTGTTTTAATTCCTCGAAGGGTAACTTATTTAGACGAACGTGGTTTTTGCGCTTGTTCGCGTTTGAAAATTGTAACAATACCACAATGTGTTAAATATATTGAAAGTGAATGTTTCTATGCTTGCGAAGCTTTGAGTGAGATTAATATACCTCCAAATGTGACATTCATTGGTAGAGGCTGTTTTTCCAATTGTCATAATTTGAGTAGTGTAACATTGCCAGACAATTTAAAAACATTGAATGATGACTGTTTTTATCAGTGCAGTAAATTAACTTGGGTTACAATACCAACTACTATTGTGTCAATTGGTGGTTCGTGTTTTACAGGTGTACCAACCTACACAATTTAATACTTCCGTCATGTGTCACATCAATTGGAAATTACTGTTTCTACGGATGCAAAAGTTTGAGTAGTGTTACAGTACCAAAGAGTCTTGTGTCTGTTGGCAACTATGGTTTTGATCTTCAACTTCCAATCCATCACGAAAAATAATAATTATTATAGTATATAATTACTATTGTAATATTATAGTAAAACTCTAACTAACAACAAAGAACTTAACAAAAACTGAATTTTAACCGACTTATTCAAAATACTTTCCTTTGAAAAGTAAAACAAATGAAGCTGTAATGAACGCCATTGTTGTGACGACCCCGACTACACACATGATGATATCAGACAATTTTCTTGTTTTATAAAAAGAGAGTCTCAACGTCTTCCAGTCGCTTTCAGTCCACGCGTCTCCAGAGTTTCCTCTAATTTGATTTTTGTCTGTGTCGATGTCACTTCCATGTGTTGGTAAGTACTGAACTGTTCCATTGTTGACTTCGCAGTCTCCTTCACAATGATTCAATGTCACAATATATTTCAAATAGTCTGAGAGAGCTTTGCTTCGTGCAGTAATTCTTTCGTCTCCATATATAGAAGAGTATGAATTGCCATTCCCTTTAATAACGCCAATTGTTTCATTGAAATACTCGCACGTCATGTCTTCTGCGAAACAGGAATACAGCTCGTCAAATATAGAACAGTTGTATTCAACTGTGTTGTCTTTTTCAAAAGTCTCGTAATTTGTCTCAAAGAGTGTTTCCATCAAGACTCTCGATATCGTTTTCACGTTGTCACACAGCTCTTCTATTTTCTCTATAACATCTCGATGTGTACCAACCTTCCCTTTATATACTTCTAAGTGATCTGCAAAATGATACTTCACCCCATTCTTGAATGAATCTAGTGGGCTTTCTGGTGGGGTTAAAGTCACTTTTTCGAGTCTTTCCACAGTTGGAATATCATGTTGTGTGTACACATACACCTTTCCCTCAGTCAACCCTAAATGTCCAAAATTGTAAATCGCGTCGTATGAATCGTTTGTTGAGGAAAATAGTCTGGACCCCATATGCCCAAATGTCTCGTCTTCAAACAGTGCAAATTCGACACTGATATTTGACTTCTTCATCAACTATTAATGAGTGTTTTACTCTTAAAGACATTAAAACAAACGGGTTTAAGTGTCTGCATGACGGAGAGTAATGTGACTTCACCACTCAACACTTGTTCATTGGCAGGTGTCGTCTCTCTAAATAAACTCACCCCATCAAGCTGAGCAGTTAGTAATATCTTTTTACTTCTTGTCGTGTTATCAAGTTTGCCATACAACGTCTGCCCACCAATCGGTTTGCACATCCCACGTCTTAAACATGTCTCGGAGTTGACGTCCGAGTTCATTGCCGCCTCAATTTGTAGATGTGAACCTTCGCTAGCAAAGTAATCGACACTGGCTGTTGTATAGAAAATGGGGAAGTCCCATAATTTCCACGCCGAGTTATCCCCGTCTGGGTTGAAACTTGTTTGTTTATCTTGCGAGGTGATATTGCCTTCCGATTTGTACGCGACAACTCCAACTACCTTTTTTGACCCAAACAATTCCAAATTCTTTGCGTTTAATATGTTGTCGGGAATAACTACAACTACTTCCGTCTCTTCACCACTCGACCAACCATTCACTTCTTCTTGTGCATTCAATCGGTGACACTTCCCTCTTACTACACCTTTTTTGCTATACGCTCCAATCATTTCGTTGTTGTTCAATAACATGAACGCACCAGAACTATCAACAGTTGTTGTCAACAAGGACTTTACTGTTTTCAGTCTGTTCTTCGAGAGATCCGACGCGTGACAAAAACATAAAACTAGAGCAAATAGTATCATCTTTGAATTTTTTAGTTTACTTTTATTGTTAAATTATGACTTACTATAATTTAACTATACTAAAATTTTTCACTATTTTTTTTCTTTTTTTCGTTTTCTGTAGTTTATTAATAGTATAGTATAGTATAATATTATATTATATTATATTATATTATATTATATTATATTATATTATATTATATTATATTATATTATATTATATTATATTATATTATATAAAACTATAATGATTGAAACCAAAACACCGAGTTAATTTACATAGAAGACAATGTTGCAACTTCTGGAAGAGGCGGATGGTCTCTTCTTCCGAAAAGAAAATCAATTGGGATACCCTTATCATTTGAAATGTTTGGAGGTTCTTCCATGATTTTAATGATTTCAAAATTTGATTCCAAAGTGAGTGGGGTGTTGGCGGATGAAACATCTTCGCTTGGAATGTCTAAAAGAGTTGGGGATTGTGAAGCGGAAATGACTGTGCGTTGCGCGACAAAGCGTCTACATGAAATTTTCGAGCATATTACGTCTGTTGTGTAATATCGTGGAGATCTTTCTGCTGTTTGCATTGAATCGATTGTAAAGTTTCAACAGTTCTTAAATGTTGTGAATGGAGGGGTAGCTCGGAATTCACTAATTAGATGCATTTCTTTTAGTTCAAAAACAATAAATGTTTAGTTATAATGGTTTTTGCAAAAAATGAACTGATTCAAAATGCTGCATTTTAGTTTTGGTCCTTATATTATATAACAATAATATATATACTATAAAATATAATTACAAAGAACACTGTTCTGTTAATTATTGAGTAAGTATAGTAACTATTTCTATTTATAGAATTCATTTTTTTTTACAAAACAAAAGAAAGGTAAAATTACCGAAATCTCTCGATTTTATTTATAAAAAAACGGGAAAAACATGTCAAGAAAATAATTAATTATCAATTTGTTAAATATGGACTTATCAAAAAAAATTCACTTTTCTAAGTTCAGTCTATATCAATTATTATTATTATTGGACAATAATTAATATAATATTTCGGGAAAATCATAAAACCATCTTATTGTTTCATTTTTTTTCACATTTACTTAATGCCCGTTATTTACATTAAATTTGAGCCATTTTTCAATAAAATGGATTTGAGACCACACTTTATTGTTTTTTATTATCAATGTTTTTTTAATGCCACTTTAGTTTAATTAAATTCAACTAATTTAAGTATAATACTTCACTTTCATGAAAATGGTTGATCACGATTTATTAAAAAATTTTCTATGGAAACTTGGGGAAAGTGAACTTGACTTCATTTGTTCGAAAACAGAAAACAGCAAAATCTGAAAGAGTAGCTAAAAGTGGCACAGAACCCGATATTTTTGAATAAATTATCCTAAATTAATCATATTCACAATTCAATGGTTTTCTATTTTTATTCAAAAACCTCTAATTTTAATTTGGGGTAAAAATATCAATTAAAACAAAATATTACAGTACCAAACATTTACTAGTAATAATCAATCTGTTTATCTTTCATTCAATAATAGTTTTGATGAAGTTTTACAAAATACGCAATGTTTCTTACCATTTCTTTGCTTTCATTAAAAAGTTTTGTTCATCAAAAAAAAACAAACGACACTATTTTTCGGTAAGCTTCATTTTTTTTTACAAAATATAACCTTCATTTATGGTCTTCATTAAATATTCATTTTTTAACACACTTCTGTTTTCGAAATGCCATTTTATATACTAAAACTATTTCGTATCTTAACTTTTTAAACTTTAGTTTCAAAATGTTACACTATTCGAACTGCCACCCCAAATCAATAAAGTCCTCGGTGATTCTTATCGCATATTTTGTACCAGACAAAAATCTTACTCATTAGAATTATCACCGATATGTTATTTCCTTAACATATTTTAACGCCAACTAT